CCCCCACGGAAACACCCAGACATCGCCCCTCACACTGAGCAGACCACCCATCGAGAGCCCTCTGTTGCCACGAAATAGCAGGGTTATGGGTGCTTAACCAGGGAATCCCCAGCACCACCGGGTACGCAGGAGAGTCGATCAGATACAGCTGTATAGTCTCTTCATGACCCCCCTGCGCACACATCCTAAGTGGCGCTGTGACTTCCCTGATCAACCCCGACCCCAACGGACGGCTATCTAAGGCATGAACGGGAAAAGGTTTGTCAACGGGTAGGAGAGGGATCCCTAACTCTAAACAAAACTTTCGATCAACAAAATTCCCAGCTGCGCCTGAATCTACTAGCGCCTTATGCTGGGAATGAGGTGCAACCTGTGGAAAACCAACAGGTATACAAAAGTGCGCAACAGAAAGCTCTGGGTAGGTGGGGCGTCTACTCACCTGGGAGGCCCCCCCAGTGCGTGGCCTGTTGTCTTCTCCCCCGGAGAGCCCTCCCCAGCACCTGGCCGCAGTGTGCCCTCCACGACCGCACTTGGTGCAGGAGACAGACCCCCTCGGGCTCCTCCTACTCCGTTCTCTAGCGCCGGCACCCCCGAGTTCCATAGGGCTCGGCTCGGAGGTGCCGGAGGGCGGAATGGACGGACCCCCCTCGGGACGTCCACGGGTGGCCAGCAGGGTGTCTAAACGGATGGACATATCAACCAACTGGTCGAAAGTCAGATGGGTATCCCTGCAGGCCAACTCTCGTTGAACGTCCTCCCGGAGGCTACACCGAAAATGGTCAATGAGAGCCCGTTCATTCCACCCTGCATCCGCCGCTAGAGTCCGTTACTCCAAAGCAAACGCCTGTGCGCTCCTCCTCCCCTGTCTCAAGTGGACTAGCCGCTCCCCCGCCGCTTTGCCCTCAGGTGGATGGTCAAACACGGCCTTGAAGCGGCGGGAGAACTCGGCGTAGGAGATGGTGTTGGCGTCCATCTTCCTCCACTCAGCGTTAGCCCACTCCAACGCCTTTCCCGAGAGACAGGAGATGAGGGCGGAAACGCTCTCGTGTCCCGAGGGCACCGGGTGTACAGTGGCCAGGTAGAGCTCCACCTGCAGGAGAAACCCCTGACACCCGGCAGCTGTTCCGTCATACGCCCTCGGGAGCGAGAGCCGAATCCTCCTGGGTTCCGGACCTGGGGCTGGTGGACCGGCCGATGGGGTGGACAGGGTAGGTGGAGGTGTGGGTACCCTGCTGGCTTCCCATCGGTGCAGGGTGTTGATCACGTCCTGTAGAGCGGTCTCCAGTTGTCTTATCTGGCCCTCCTGCCAATGGATATGCTCCTCGAGCGACACCGGTGTCACAGCCGATCCTGCTGATTCCATAATGGTGTGTTATTCTGTCAGTGGGTGCTGTAGGTGGGTGTGGTGCAGGAATCAGATGCAGGACGCAGAAAGTCCAATAGACTTTAGTGAACAGCACACTCAAATTCACGAGTCAAACGCCCGGAGGCGAGAAAGTCCGCACACAGGCGAAAACCAAAAGGCGCACAAAACAGTGCGTAAATAACCTCCTAAACACAGAGGAGGAAAATCCGAAATGCACAAGGCAAACAGTAGCGCACAAAACACGACAGCGAAACAATAACACACAAACACAGACACACACAACGAGAACTAAATAGAACACTAACGAGGACTAACTAGACACAGGTGTACAACATCAAGACCAAACCAAACGAACATGAAACATAGATCGGTGGCAGCTAGTACTCCGGAGACGACGACCGCCGAAGCCTGCCCGAACCAGGAGGAGGAGCAGCCTCGGCCGAAACCGTGACACTCTGCAGGCTATCTCTACAGTAGATTGCAACTCTGCCCCCTTTGGCAGTTCTATCTAGACGGAAAATGTTATAGTTTGGGATGGACATTTCTGAATTTTTGGTGGCCTTCCTAAGCCAAGATTCAGACACTGCTAGAACATCAGGGTTGGCAGAGTGTGCTAACGCAGTGAATAACTCAAACTTGGGGAGGAGGCTTCTGATGTTAACATGCAAGAAACCAAGGCTTTTATGGTTACAGAAGTCAACAAATGATTGCGCCTGGGGGGTAGGAGTGATACTGGGGGCTACAGGGCCTGGGTTAACCTCTACATCACCAGAGGAACAGAGGAGGAATAGAATAAGGATTTAAGAACTGGTCTTCTAGTGCATTGGGTACAGAGAATAAAAGGGGCAGATTTCCGGGCGTTGTAGAATAGATTCAGGGCATTATGTACAGACAAGGATATAGAAGGATATGAGTACAGTGGAGGTAAACCTAAGCATTGGGTAACTATGAAAGAGATAGCATCACTGGAGTGACCGATTGAGCCGGTCTCCGCGTGTATGGGGGGTGGGACAAAGGAGTATTTGTGTCTTTGTAACATCTGAATAGTTCACTTTACAAAGTTTTCATACCTCCGTTAGACTCAAGACCACTTTGGTGTTATGGAAACGTTCGTTTTGGGGTAAACTATTCCTTTAAGTCCCCTTCATTGCCAAGCTGAGTCACTGTAAGGTCTGGTAAATTTACTGCAGTGTGTTGGTCTGCTGCTGCCGCCATTGCTTCCCAATGCAAGACTAATTCATCTCAATGAGGGCGGTACCAGACAATCACAGAGAGAGGGGCCTCAAATGTCCAGCTCATCATAAACTGTATGCTCCTCTCTCTCCTCTCAGTCTCTCTCTTGCTTGCAGTCTCCATCTCTCGCCTCTCCCTCTCTCCCCTTGCTGCTGTAAACTGGGATCATCGTGGTCACTACACTGCCTGTGTATCAGTTTTCCTCCCTCTCCCCTCCCTCTCCCATCCTCCTCTGTCTTGCTCCTTATTTCCCTCTCCCTCCCCTCCCCTCCCCCTCTCCCTCCCCCATCCCTCCCCTCCCTATCTGTTACTGCATGGTCCCTGAGCAGCCTGAGTATCAGTATTCAGGACCAAATATGTGCTGTCAGGGAGTCTGGATCTCTGTAGACCGCACCTGAAAATGAACACACGCACCGAACACACTCACACACACCAATCTTAACAAGATAAGGTCCAACAGACTAGTTAAATAGCTGAATGGATCTCGGGGTAATGGGCTCTTGTTCACGGCAGTGACGATGCCGTATCTCAAAGCAGCCCCGTGATAATTGAGAAATGGCTCCCGGTAAATTACCTCCACGACTGTCTGAGTCCACTGGAACTGAACCGCTAGTTATGTAGTTAAAAGGAGGTGGAGTCTGGAGTCTACCGTGCCTGGTGTTTTATCTATTGATTGTTGTGCTGCTGTTACCTGGCTGCAGATAGGCACTTGACATTTTCAGAAAATTCAAGGTGGTTAGATGTTTGCCTGCCCACAGTGTATTGATCAAATGGATAGGTCTAATGCATTCTATTCTAATCTATTTACTGAGGAGGTAACATCAAGACAACATCATTGCAATACATTCCTATTCATTATAGGCCATTTTGCATTCCTTATTATGGTCAACATCTTGGCCTTGTCATAGGCAGGCCTATACTGTAAAATATTTTATCCTTTAGCCTACTCAGCATAACATACTGGGGCTACACAGAATGAGAATTAGATTTTAATTCTATGAGAGCTACACTATTTCCCTTTTCTCAAGTAGTGTTTTGCAGACACAGTGAGATTGAAAACAGAGAAAACGTTCAATGAAGGCCTAAGGGAGGGGGGATTTAACCTTGTGGTTATGGGATGAGTGCACTGCCCTACTACCTGTACAATCATGTTCCAGGTAACCCAGGTTGCTTTTTATATCTGTTTGATCACACATGCACAAAATACAACTGTATTTCTATCTTGTTTTGTTTTAATGTATTTGTATGTACAATACACTGCAGTGGAAGTGTTGGAGAGACTACAGAAAGATAGGGAGGATGTTGATCCATCTGATTTCTTTAAGAGACGTCTGGAAACTGTGTATCAGGATTTTGTGGCCATTTACACAGATGGTTCAAAAGATCCAAGGACAGGACGTACTGGGTCAGCATTTGTAGTGCAGGAATGTGGGGTGGAAGTCAGAAAACGTATTACAGATCATCTGGCTGTATATACGGCGGAGCTGATGGCCATACTGTTGGCCTTGCAGTGGGTGGAGGAAGACAAACAAGACAGAGTAGTTATTTGCTCGGATTCATGTGCAGTGTTAATAAGTCTCCAGTCCTTTAGCTCACGTAGCAGACAAGACCTGCTTTATGAGGTGCTACAAACCCATGGCAGGATTAAACAGATGGGTATTCAGATAAGATTTACTTGGGTCCCAGCCCATGTGGGGGTGGAGGGGAACGAGGCAGTAGATGAACAGGCTAAACAAGCACTTAGTAGTGGGGATGTTGATGTTGAAGTTTCAATGAGCAAGGCAGAGGCAAAAAGACTGATATATACAGTGATCGTGCAGAGATGGCAGGAGAAGTGGAATATAGATAATAAGGGAAGGCATTTATTTCAAGTACAGAGGAAAGTCGGGGAGGGGAGGACGGCAGGAAGGGACAGAAGAGAGGAGGCTATTTTTACAAGATTAAGGGTGGGACACAGCCAGTTGAATAATACATTAAATGTGATAGGAAAGCATCCAACAGGAAAGTGTGATTATTGTCAGGAAACAGAGACCATGGAGCATGTATTGCTACAGTGTGGGCAGTAGCAGAGGGAAAGAGAGAGGATGAGATCTAGTATGAGGGAGAAGGGGATACAGGAAATTAGTTTAAAGAATATATTGAGTAGAACGTCATTAGATATAGTCTCAAATATTTTGTTATCTTTTTTAAGCGCAACGGGGCTGGCAGGTAGGATTTAGTTTCTCCCCGTCTCTGGCCCACACTCCAGTACAGTAGGTGGCGGTAATTCACCATAACGTTGGATGCCAACCACCGATAAACCCCACTGAAGAAGAAGAAGACGAAGAAGAAGAATACACTACAGTGGACTACATTAATCAGAAACAATGTTTTTTAATGGGTCGCAAATATTTTTGCGACAGTTGATGGAAGCACATTTAACGGCAGTGTCATGGCGGCTTACGGAAGCAGTTTTGAAAGTGTTAATAGCATCGAAGACCGAAAAGAATACAAACGTAAAGCCAGGGAGGAGGTTATTCAGAAGGTAAATATGTGTGCTTTATAAGTAGATACCAAACTACATGCTCAATGTAAGAAGATACTTTGATATAACGTCAGTACAAAAGTCAAGTGTGTGGCTGCAACAGCTAGCTGAATGCTAACAAATAGCTAGCCTGAACGTCTGCCATACGAATTAGCTAGCTAGTTTTCTGGTGCATTTTCTACAATATTTGTAATTGGTACATATACGTATGTTTGTAATATCATATAGTGTTAATAAACCGTTTTGAATAATGCAATTACCTACTACTAGCTAGTACAGCAAAGATGTGTAGCTAGCTAGTTAGCTATCTTAGCCAGCTCGCTAGCAATCATCAAAACAGCGAGAGGAAGTCACATGGTCCTTGCTATAAGGGGTCTTTAGGACGTCCCCCCCCCCCCCCACACACACACTGAAGTTGAACATTAAAATGGGTTAGGGTTTAGGTTAGGGACTTCCGAATAGCACGAACCGGAGTCACATGGCTGGCTAGCTAGCTACTGTACCTATTTAGTCTTAGCTAAGTATTGGCTAAGCTAACTACCTTTTAAACGTTTGTTAGAACTATACAGTCGAACACTACTGACTGAAATGTTAAGTCTTTGTAGAAACTAACTAACATTACTTGCATTCCTTTTCAATTCCTGCCCAAGTACATTCACTTGTTTACATGACCCCTTTTCCCCCCATGGTGCCTCTGCTACGGTACTATGCTGTTATTCTCTCTCTGGTAGTCAGTCGTGATGTGAGCATGGCAGACACTAGGTGGCGAAGTTCTACATAGCAGAGCTATATCTGTTTGCTGAATGTCTACCCACCATGCCTCAGGTGATCAAAAGATTACTAGGGAGAAATAAAGAGCAACAGACGCTGTGCCCTCTGAAGACAGGAAGGAAATGACAAGGCGGATGGACGCTTGCATCAATGGAAGCAGATTGATAGTGTTTACAGTGGTGTGATTGATCGAGGCGCACCATAGTGTGTGTGTAAATATGAGGTGTCATCAGTCAGGTAGTGGCGTCTGCAGGGGATGGCAGGACAAACACTGCTGCAGGGCGATAAGGGCTGTGACGCAACCACCCCGGATACAGTTTAGCATGGTTAAATTCCTCCTTCAGAAGACACATACACTCACTTAACACCTTACACCATACATATGCATTTCATGCACACAAAAACATCAACACAGAGTAGTCAGGTCCATGTTATCTCCTGAGCAGCTGTGTTGACTTCATAAACAGTGTGAGGTGTGTGTGTGTGTGTAATGGTGACTGATAAGCTTCCTGGAGGAAGTCATCTGAACTCTCTCCATTTATCTCTAAATCTCCTCTCTCCCTCTCTTTCACTTCATCTCCGTTCTCCTCCCTCTCTCTCACCTCATCTCCATCTCCGCTCTCCCTTCTTCCTCACCTCATCTCCGCTCTCCCTCTGTCTCACCTCATCTCCCCCTCCCCCAGGCGAAGCAGCAGTATGAGAAGGAGGAGAAGAGGAAGGAGCTGAAGAGACAGAGAGGAGAGGACACCTGGATGCTCCCTGAAGTTGACCTCCGACTGCAGCAGCTAGAACAGGTCAGCAGGTTGTTGCTTTGGTAACCCCATTATCTTTTAAGGAGGTCACTTGTGTGACCTCCCTATCCTCTGCATGGCCTAGTAGTAAGGTTGACCCCAAAGTCAATATTTGGTTCTCATACAGCAACAGTAGATCTAGAGCTGAGCTGGTTTTGTAGCTCTAGCTTGAGCATATTGATGTTTCCAATCCATTTATCCTATCTATCATGGCTTAATAAAGATCACTTCGTTTTGCATAATTTAATCAGGCCCACTTATTTCTGTCACCTTCAGGAGGTTTCAAGCAAAACCAAGAAGAAGAAAGAGAAAAAGACCAAGAAGAGTAAGAAGGAAAAGAAGAAGAAGAAGGAGAAGAGAGCTCAGAGAGGAGATGGGTCCAGTGCCAGCTCAGAGGTAAGCGCCATTGTATTGCTCTCCCTCCTTTCCTCTCACCTCTTTCTTTCTCTCTCGCATCTCACATTCCCTCTCCTTCCCTCTCTTGTGCTTCCTTTCCTCTATCCTGAACATATTTACATTTTACATTTTAGTCATTTAGCAGACGCTCTTATCCAGAGCGACTTACAGGAGCAATTAGGGTTAAGTGCCTTGCTCAAGGGCACATCGACATATTTTTCACCTAGTCGGCTCGGGGATTAGAACGTTGTAATGTTGCCAAATGTTGTAACAGCCTGAATTTAAAATGGATTAAATTGTGATTTTTGATCACTGGCCTATACACAATACCCCGTAATGTCAAAGTGGAATAATTTTTAAAGAAATGTTTACAAGGTAATACAAAATTAAAAGCGGAAATGTCTTGAGTCAATAAGTATTCAACCCCTTTGTTATGGCAAGCCTAAATAAGTTCAGGAGTAACATTTTGCTTAATAAGTTGCATGGATTCACTCTGTGTGCAATAATAGTGTTTAACTAGATTTTTGAATGACTACCTCTTTTCTATACTTCACACATACAATTGTTGGTAAGGTCCCTCAGTCAAGCAGTGAATTGCAAGCACAGATTCAACATCAACAACATTGTAGTTACTCCACAATACTAACCTAATTGACAGAGTGAAAGGGAAGCCTGTACAGAATAAAAATATTCCAAAACATGCATCCTGTTTGCAACAAGGCACTAAAGTAATACTGCCAAAAAATTGGCAAAGCAATTCACTGTTTGTCCTGAATACAAAGTGTTATGTTTGGGGCAAATCCAATACAACACATTACTGAGTACCACTCTCCATATTTTCAAGCATAGTGGTGGCTGCATCATGTTATGGGTATGCTTGTAATGGGTATGCTTTTTTTTTTTTTGGGGGGGTGGATCAGCTTCATATTGCAGATAGATTGTATCTTCTATCAATGTAATTGTCTGCATCACTTCCAATCCCCCATGTTTTATATATATATATATATATATATATATATATATATATATACTCCCCTTTATTACTTTTCAACCCCACCATCCTTTCCCTACTTGTAAATTAGTGAACAACAATGCCCAGTCCTCTACTTCCGGTCTATACTTACTATCTACACCTTATGGACAGAGTTAATTTTACAATAATTATATTTTATATATATATTATTTTTTGTTCCTGAACTTCATCTACTCTCAACCTCTCCGATCATTTTCATGATGTCCATCCGGTTTGCTTCTATATGCCATATCTTTCTAACTGTGCTCTTTCCCAAAAGCTCCCAACATACAACCTATATACTTATTATGGACACAGTATGCTTACATTATTAGCTATCTTTGTTATTATTTGTTGTTATTTGTTATTAGTCCCATCCTTCAACTCTATTCAATACCTCCCATCTATCTCTTAACACCATCCATATAGGATTTCTATTTGCCATATATATTTCAACCGTACTGTGATGTTTTACAAAAGTTCTGAACCTTTCTATTCTCATTGCTTCTACAGATTGTGAATTAAAAATAAACATTTTTGCTAAAAGTATTATTATATTATTGATTGATTGACTATGACTTTTCAGATCACCCAGTAATGCTATCTGCAAGGTTAGCTCCAGGTAAATATTGCAATCCTTTAGCCATTCCTGGACCTGTGTCCAAAAACAAGCTACAAATGGACAGAACCAAAACAAATGATCTAATGATTCTGTCTCTTCACAGCAAAATTTGCAGAGCTGGGAAGATTGTATCCCCCATATAAATAACATTCTATTGGTAGCAATAATTTTATATAATAATTTAAATTGAAAGATTCAAATTTTTGAATCCGGTGTCGTTTTGCGTGTCAGTTCATAAACACTATGCCATGGGATCGGTACGTCAAAGATCTCTTCCCAACTATTTTGCAATCTATATGGGACGGCTGTCAATCCTTTGGTCCTTAAGTGAAACTGATATACTTTTTTATTTATCACAGTTTTCCTTAACCAATTATGTTCTTTAATGCAAGGCCGACAGACAAGTTCCTTACTTTCTCCCCCTTCCACTTTCCTCTTCCACTTTTGCGGTAAGGCTGCAATTATTTGGTTGTAATTTTGGGTAGAGCAGACATTTCCATATGTTTTTGTTAGCTGCATGTGCGACATAACTCCAAATCAAATCAAATTTTATTGGTCACATGCGCCGAATACAACAGGTGCAGACATTACAGTGAAATGCTTACTTACAGCCCTTAACCAACAGTGCATTTATTTTAAACAAAAAAAGTAAGAATAAAACAACAACAAAAAAAGTGTTGAGAAAAAAAGAGCAGAAGTAAAATAAAGTGACAGTAGGGAGGCTATATATACGGGGGGGTACCGTTGCAGAGTCAATGTGCGGGGGCACCGGCTAGTTGAGGTAGTTGAGGTAATATGTACATGTGGGTAGAGTTAAAGTGACTATGCATAAATACTTAACAGAGTAGCAGCAGCGTAAAAAGGATGGGGTGGGGGGGCAGTGCAAATAGTCCGGGTAGCCATGATTAGCTGTTCAGGAGTCTTATGGCTTGGGGGTAGAAGCTGTTGAGAAGTCTTTTGGACCTAGACTTGGCACTCCGGTACCGCTTGCCGTGCGGTAGCAGAGAGAACAGTCTATGACTAGGGTGGCTGGAGTCTTTGACAATTTTGAGGGCCAGTCCTACCGATGATATCATTTATGAAGATTATACCTTTTTTAAACATTCTGTCAAAAAATAAAGTTTTTTTTGTCAATTAGTATATTTGAATTTAACCACAATGTTTGTTGCATTATTTGTTCTGTCGTTTCTGGAGGATTAAATTGAAATTGCAACCAACTTTCTATGGCTTGTTTTAGAAATAGTGATATTTGGGACATTATTTCCTTTTCAAATAACTGAAAGTGAGAGGTTGTAATCTAAATAAAGGGAAAAAGGCCATTCTTGAACATTGGGTGAGACAATCTTACTAATTTGCTTGAGAACCAGTTCGGATTTAAGTATAACTTTTGTATGACTGAAGCTTTTAGTGATAGGTCTAATGCTTTAATATTTAATAATTTCTGTCCTCCTAATTCATATTCATTATATAAATATGCCCTTTTAATTTTGTCTGGCTTGCCGTTCCAAATAAAATTGAATATTTTTTTCTCATATAATTTAAAAAACTGTTCGCTAGGCGTAGGCAAGACCATAAGAAAATAGGTAAACTGGGATAATACTAAAGAGTTAATCAGGGTGATTTTTCCACAAATTGACAGGTATTTTCCTTTCCATGGTAGTAAGATCTTATCTATTTTTGCTAACGTTCTATAAAAATTTATTGAAGTGAGATCATTTATTTCCTTTGGTATATGTATTCCGAGTATATCCACATCACCATCAGACCATTTTATTGGTAAACTACATGGTAATGTAAAAATTGTATTTTTTAGTGATCCAATACGTAATATAGTACATTTGTCATAATTTGGTTGTAATCCAGAGAGGTTAAAAAATGTATCTAGATCCTCTATGAGGCTGTGGAGGGACTCTAGTTGTGGATTTAAAAGAAAACATGAATCATCAGCGTACAATGACACCTTTGTTTTTAAGCCCTGGATTTCTAATCCTCTGATATTATTATTGGATCTGATTTTAATAGCTAACATCTCGATGGCCACAATAAATAGATATGCCGATAGTGGACAACCTTGTTTCACTCCTCTTGACAGTTTAAAACTTTCTGAGAAATAGCCATTATTTACTATTTTACACCTAGGGTTACTATACATGATTTTGACCCATTTTATAAGAGATTCTCCAAAATTGAAATGCTTGTAATTGTTAAGGACTGGTGAGTTTTCAGGATAAAAATTAACGGAATGGAGCTAAGCACAGGCAAAATCCTAGAGGAAAACCTGGTTGTCTGCTTCCCACCAGACACTGGGAGATTAATTCACTTTTTTTCAGCAGGACAATAACCTAAAACACAAGGCCAAATATACACTGGAGTGACTTACCAAGAAGACAGTGAATGTTCCTGATTGGCCAAGTTACAGTTTTGGTTTAAATCTACTTGAAAATCTATGGCAAGACCTGAAAATGGTTGTCTAGCAATGATCAACAACCAATTTGACAGAGATTGAAGAATTTTGAAAAGAATAATGGGCAAATGTTGCACAATCCATGTGTGCCATGCTCTTAGAGACTTACCCAGAAAGACTCACAGCTGTAATCACTGCCAAAGGTGCTTCTACAAAGTATTGACTCATGGGTGTGAATACTTATGTAATTTTTTATTTTTTCTGTATTTCTTTTTCAATACATTTGTAAACATGTTGTCACTTTGTCATTATGGGGTATTGTTTGTACATGGGTGAGGGGGAAAACATCAATTTAATCAATTTTGAATTCTGGCTCTAACACAACAAAATGTGGAGTAAGTTGAGGTGTATGAATACTTTCTGAAGGCACTGTGTCAATTTTAGCCCTCTTTTCTCTCCCTACAGGGGTCAGAGGATGAGTGGGTTGAGGCCCAGCCCCAGGCAGAGGCATCGGGTAAAGCCTGGAAGATTCCTGCCAAGTCTGAGGCCAAGCCCACAGACAGCAGCCCTACCCCAGCCGAGAACAACCAGGTAACACCCCCATCCATCCCCCTCCACAGCACCGGTAAACCCTAAGACAGGGATCATCAACTACATAGATTCAGCCGTGGGTAAAAACATTTATTGAGCGGATGGTCAAGGGGCCGGAACATAAAGAAAAATTATTTGTAGACTGCTAATTAACTGCAAGACCGATTATAATATTTGATTAAAGCATATTAATTTCAAACCTTGCTTACATTTGTATACGATCACATAGTTGCGGCCAAATATATTGGCACCCTCACACTTTTCTTAAATCATTCCCTATTTCTGATCAAATAAGTAGACATAAAAAAAAGTCTGTCACCGCACCTTGTTATTGGATTTTCAACATTGCAGAACCCATTTTATTTTCGTAACCTTAAGTTTACAATTTTAATTGAAAATAAAGAAAATGGCATCGACAAAATTATTGTCACCCCGGAGCTAGTACTTGGTTGCACAGGCTTTGGCCAAGATAACTGCCGACAAACACTTATTGTAGCTATTAATGAACTTGCTGCATCATTCTACTGACAATTTGGCCCACTTTTCAGCAGCAAATTACTCTAATTTTTAAATATTTGAGGGGTGCCCTCCAATGTTCCTTCTAATCTGCGCGCATGCGCGCAGCTCCCCTCGGACTGCCCCGCAAAATAAAGATCAGCCCATGCAGAAAAGCAAGAGATTGAACTTCACTCCACTTTCTAGAGTTTTCCACTCAACATTTCGCTCTACTGTTGTAGTTGTGATCGAATCAACGCAACATTAGCCACTTTCAATGTAAAATACCAAAACAAACTATGCAGGACTTAGTATGAAAAACTAACTGTTCAAGAGATTCTGTTGTGGGCAGAGTTGTAGCAAAAACACTTTTTCAGCTACCTCCTTGTCTGAAGGACAAGGGAATAAACAGGTTAATGTCAAGCCCTGCATGTTATTCTTTTCAAAAGTCTCATGGAATGTAGGCCTACATTGAACACCACACATTGGCTGCTACTGTAGGCTGAATGATAGAACAGCTATTTCCATGTTAAAATGTTATGGGATGCATTTTTTTTATATATATATTGTTTTATGGTAGGCCACTCTGGTAGGCCTGCATTATGATCAAATTGCCACAGTAGCCGACTTGGCCACTGTTAAAACTGTAATGTAAAGCGGGTACAGCCTCAGTGTTCACAGTAAACGTGCGCCGGAAGTTGCACAGAATTTTCACAACATTCAACTTTGCGCTCAGCAGACCTGAAATGTGTCTGTACCTAAACATTTTTTGAGGGAACATTGGTGCCCTCCAACAACTGCTGTTTTCAGATCTCTCCATAGGTTTTGGATGTGATTCAGATCTGGTCTCTTGGCTTGCCACTCAAACTGTCCAGCATCTCTTCATAAAGGGGTAGTTTGGGATTTTGGCAATGAGGCCCTTTTTCTGGCTCCCAGGTGTCTTTTATACAGGTAACGAGCTGAGATTAGGAGCACACTCTTTAAGGGAGTGCTCCTAATCTCAGCTTGTTACCTGTATAAAAGACACCTGTCCACAGAAGCCATCAATCAATCAGATTCCAAACTCTCCACCATGGCCAAGACCAAAGAGCTCTCCACGGATGTCAGGGACAAGATTGTAGACCTACACAAGGCTGGAATGGGCTACAAGACCATCGCCAAGCAGCTTGGTGAGAAGGTGACAACAGTTGGTGCGATTATTCGCAAATGGAAGAAACACAAAAGAACTGTCAATCTCCCTCAGCCTGGGGCTCCATGCAAGTTCTCACCTCGTGGAGTTGCAATGATCATGAGAACGGTGCGGAATCAGCCCAGAACTACACGGGATGATCTTGTCAATGATCTCAAGGCAGCTGGGAACATAGTCACCAAGAAAACAATTGGTAACACACTACGCCGTAAAGGACTGAAATCCTGCAGAGCCTGCAAGGGCCCCCTGCTCAAGAAAGCACATATACATGCCCGTCTGAAGTTTGCCAATGAACATCTGAATGATTCAGAGGAGAACTGGGTGACAGTGTTGTGGTCAGATGAGACCAAAATGGAGCTCTTTGACATCAACTCAACTCGCCGTGTTTGGAGGAGGAGGAATGCTGCCTATGACCCCAAGAACACCATCCCCACTGTCAAACATGGAGGTGGAAACATTATGCTTTGGGGGTGTTTTTCTGCTAAGGGGACAGGACAACTTCACCGCATCAAAGGGACAATGGACGGGGCCATGTACCGTCAAATCTTGGGTGAGAACCTCCTTCCCTCAGCCAGGGCATTGAAAATGGGTCGTGGATGGGTATTCCAGCATGACAATGACCCAAAACACACGGCCAAGGCAACAAAGGAGTGGCTCAAGAAGAAGCACATTAAGGTCCTGGAGTGGCCTAGCCAGTCTCCAGACCTTAATTCCATAGAAAATCTGTGGAGGGAGCTGAAGGCTCGAGTTGCCAAACGTCAGGCTCGAAACCTTAATGACTTGGAGAAGATCTGCAAAGAGGTGTGGGACAAAATCCCTCCTGAGATGTAGTTGGCCATCAGGTTTGCACACAAGAAACATCTGACCTCTGTGATTGCCAACAAGGGTTTTGCCACCAAGTAATAAGGCATGTTTTGCAGAGGGGTCAAATACTTATTTCCCTAATTAAAATGCTAATCAATTTATAACATTTTTGACATGCGTTTTTCTGGATTTTGTTGTTGTTATTCTGTCTCTCACTGTTCAAATAAACCTACCATTAAAACTATAGACTTGTCATGTCTTTGTCAGTGGGCAAACGTACGAAATCAGCAGGGGATCAAATACTATTTTCCCTCACTGTATCTACTTCCCCAGAGTCCGATGCACTTTTATGTCTCTGTGTGCAGTTTGAAGGAAGTTGCTAACTAGCACTAGCGCAATTGCTAAAAAGCTCTGACTAAGGCCTTGAGGCCGATACGTAAAGCTTAATAAAGAGCAGTGATACTAGCAAGAGCAGTGTGCAGGTTTCTTATTTTTTCTCATCTTATTCAACTGTTACCATGCACCTGCAACAAAGATAGCACAGATGTGCGAGTGCCTTTTGAATGTTTAACTAGCGTTAGAACAATGACTAGAAGTCTATGGTTATCTGCTAACACTAGTTAGCATTTGCTCGCAAAACTACCTCTAACTTCCATCATACTGGACACAGAGACATAAAAAAAAAGTAGATATAGGGCCTCACTACCAGAATCCCCAAGTATCCCTTTAACCATTCCTGGGTGCTTTTTGATGCATTGTTGGGATCATTGTCCTGCTGAAAGACCCATAACCTTCAACAGAGACCTAGTTTTTGGACACTGGGTTGAACACTGGACTACAAAACACCTGATAATCTGCTGATTTCATGATGCCTTGCGCATGTTCAAGGCCCCCAGTATCAGAGGCAGCAACAAAAAAACACAGCATTATCAAACCTGCCCCATCTTTCATTGATGCCCTAAGAGAACAAGTAGCTAGGCAAGGTAGTCAAGATGGGGGTTGAGCTGGAGGGTTCTACGCTGCTCTTGGTTTACATAGTGGTGTCGTCTTATTGAGCTGTATGATCTAGGAAGTGTGTGTGCATTTTTTTTCTTCTTCCAAATCAAATTATATTCGTTACGTCCACATTTTCAAGCAGGTGTAAAAGGTGCAGTGAAATGCTTATTGTGTGTGTGTTTCTAGGAGATGGGATCAATAGAGCCTCTGATCGATACACAGCCTGTGTCACCATCAACAATCAATAACCAGGCTTTTTCAGGTTTCTCTCCAGGATTTTCGAACAAGGTGGTGTTGATGAGTAAGGAGGGGTGGTCCGGAGGGGTGCTCTGCCCCGCTTTGGACTCAAGAGATTTTTGCGTTTATGAACACCTTTCCTGCAATCTACAATGTTTTTACATAGTGGCGCAGCCAATGGTGCAGCGCCCCTCTTCCATTATTTGGGGAGAACCCTGATTTTACTAATGCTGTCACACACACACACAGTCGCACACCTTCCCTTATTAGATTTACCCCCACTGTGTGTGTTTTTGTCTGTCTGTGTGTAACAGCCTGATCAGTGAGAGAAATCACTGGTCTTAAAATAGGCTTTTTGTTAGGATCCTAGATAATGGCTTGATAGTCATATTAGCATTGATCGTTTATGTGTTTGGGGTTATGAACCCATGTACATAATGATTTTATGTTCTATATTGATTTCTTTATTGATTGGGTTGATGTTATTGTCAGACAACATTTCATAACATGATTCATGTGTTTTGTCCATTCCCCTCTCTCTCTATCCCTGTCGTCATCCATCCGCTAGAGAGATGAGTGGATGACCTTTGACTTCTTGACAATGAGAACAACGTCAACAGCAGAGAAGAGGGCTGAGAAAGAAAGGCTGAAAGCGGAGGAGAAAGATAAGGCCCGGGTCATCGAGCAGGTGTGTGTGTGCTCGCTATGTTTAAATGGAAGGTTGATGGAAGTTGATTGCCTCACCTCATCTGTTGGTTACCTGGGCAACCAAAAGTGCAAAACTGAGCAGGGACAAGGGACTTGACAATTGCTGTGTGTGTGGTGCCCTAGGCAGGTCTGCACAAGCTGGAGTTGAACCCGTTCTGGAAGGATGGGGGGAGTGGCCTGCCCCCAGAAGAGAAGGCCAGTAATGTGGTTAAAAAAGGTAAATCAAACCCCCTACACAACGTCATACTACATAAACCTTTTCTGCTCTCACACTTGTACCTGAAGTTGAATCATCAAACCCATGTACACAACTCTCTATATCAGCCCAGTCTTTGGTCAACCCCTCTGTGCTAGGACTCCCCCTCTCCTCCGTCTGTGCTAGGACTCTCCCTCCCCTCCGTCTGTGCTAGGACTCCCCCCTCTCCTCCGTCTGTGCTAGGACTCTCCCTCCCCTCCGTCTGTGCTAGGACTCCCCCTCTCCTCCGTCTGTGCTAGGACTCTCCCTCCCCTCCGTCTGTGCTAGGACTCCCCCCTCCCCTCCGTCTGTGCTAGGACTCCCCCTCTCCTCCGTCTGTGCTAGGACTCTCCCTCCCCTCCGTCTGTGCTAGGACTCCCCCCTCCCCTCCGTCTGTGCTAGGACTCCCCCCTCCCCTCCGTCTGTGCTAGGACTCCCCCTCCCCTCCGTCTGTGCTAGGACTCCCCCTCCGTCTGTGCTAGGACTCCCCCTCCGTCTGTGCTAGGACTCCCCCCTCCCCTCCGTCTGTGCTAGGACTCCCCCCTCCCCTCCGTCTGTGCTAGGACTCCCCCCTCCCCTCCGTCTGTGCTAGGACTCCCCCTCCCCTCCGTCTGTGCTAGGACTCCCCCTCCCCTCCGTCTGTGCTAGGACTCCCCCTCCCCTCCGTCTGTGCTAGGACTCCCCCCCTCCCTCCGTCTGTGCTAGGACTCCCCCTCCCCTCCGTCTGTGCTAGGACTCCCCCCTCCCCTCCGTCTTGTGCTAGGACTCCCCCTCCCCTCCATTGTGCTAGGACTCCCCCCTCCCCTCCGTCTGTGCTAGGACTCCCCCCTCCTCTCCGTCTGTGCTAGGACTCCCCCTCCTCTCCGTCTGTGCTAGGACTCCCCCCTCCCCTCCGTCTGTGCTAGGACTCCCCCCCTCCCCTCCATCTGTGCTAGGACTCCCCCCTCCCCTCCGTCTGTGCTAGGACTCCCCCTCCTCTCCGTCTGTGCTAGGAACTCCCCCTCCCCTCCGTCTGTGCTAGGACTCCCCCCTCCCCTCCGTCTGTGCTAGGACTCCCCCTCCCCTCTGTCTGTGCTAGGACTCCCCCCTCTAGGACTCCCCCCTCCCCTCCGTCTGTGCTAGGACTCCCCCTCCCCTCCGTCTGTGCTAGGACTCCCCCTCCTCTCTGTTTGTCTCTGAGAGGGGAGGGGTGGGTTAATGGTTCACTGTGTGTACAGGCACTGAGGGCCCAGACACTACGTAAATCACAGACGGACGGACAGACAGACATACCGACTGAGGGAGATATAAGGAGGAGATAAATAAGAGAGGGGAAAATAGGAGTGAGAGAAGGAGGGAGAGGGAGACACTGTCAGGGCAAATCGGGTAAAGCATTTCTGGCAGGCAGAAGGACAACGAGAGAGAGTGGAGGCAGGCAGAGTGTGTGGAGAGGAGTGTGTGGAGAGGAGTGCAGGCAGAAAGAGATTGCTGAGAGAAAGAGGGAGGCAGGCAGTATTGAGAGATGTGAGAGAGGAACATTTAAAAAGTAAGAGGTACAGAGAGAGGGGCTTGGTTCTGTTAAGCGTCTCCACTCAGAAGGGTACACTCTGCCATCTCCTGAGTGAGCTTTACTTTAACAGCGTGGCAGAAGAAGCAGACTTAAGACACACTCACACAGACAGTGACGCACACTGTCACTTACATATGCAAACCAAACTCCTAAATACAGACATGGACAGTACAGACTCTCTTTTATCTCTGTAAGCTGTGTGTGTCAGAAGGGAATGTTTTCGTCATCCCTGGTTTGACTGAGAGGGTAATGAAGAGGTGTGTGTGAATGGAGGGGGGGGTTTAAACATAACTTTTAACTTGGGCTTTTGACAAACTCACATGCGCGCACACATACATTTTGAGAGAAAAGAGATTGAGGGAGGGGAAGGGGATGTCTTCTCTGGGGAAGGCAGATGTGAAATGTTCCCATTCTCTGTGCTGTGTTCCGGAGAAGAGGGTAAGGCCTAGCTGTTCTCTTGGGAAGTTGACAATGATGTTCTGTTCTCAGTGAAAGAACACTGATTTCCCACAGATAAAAGTTTAACTCTAATTATTCCCCTCCATCCTCTGGTCATTCTGTCCATCGCTCTGTTCCCTCCCTTCTTACTTCCTCACCCTGTCTCTCCTCACCCTCTCTCCCCCATCCCCCTCTGTCTGTAGCTGCAATTGTAGATGATGGAGGACTAGGTTGGCTCAGGAAGTCTTACCAGAGGATGAGAGAGCAGGCGGAGAGAGAGCAACGCAGTCTGGAGGTCATAGTGGCAGAGCGATATGGGGTGAGAGTACACACTCACTCTCAACCATATGCACAAGCATACACCGGTAGACAGACATAACGAATACAAAAACCACCTGTATAAACAGCTAACTATATAAACATTCTCACATGCACAGAAATTCTACAACGTGCATCCTTCCATATGCATTCCTACTTCAGACTCTCTCCCTATCTCCCTGGTTAATTCCCTCTATGCAGGGTCGGCACTCCCTGTCTTTCAAAAGTTAGAAAGCTCATGCCAAACTGCAACTTAGGTACATTGCAATGCACCATGAGAACATCATATCACACCATTCACTTGTGTGTATGTATTATATTTGTGTTTCTCACATGCAGTCCATGGAGAAGTTTCAGAAGAGGATGGATGAGGCTGAGATTGCTGTGTATGGATACAGGAGAGGAGAGGGGAGAGACGGAGAAAGATGGAGGGGAGGACAGGAAGCGGGAATGGGCAGAGAGAGGTGGAGGAAAGGAGAGGAGGGGATGGATAGAGAGAGGTGGAGGAGACCAGACAAGGGTAGGGACTCCTTACCTGGAGAGAAAGAGAGGGATAGAGATGGAGGTAGACATAGTGATCGGGATAGAGAGAGGGATGGAGGTAGACCTAGTGACCGCAATAGAGAGAGGGATGGAGGTAGACCTAGTGACCGGGATAGAGAGAGGGATGGAGGTAGACCTAGTGACCGGGATAGAGAGAGGGATGGAGGTAGACCTAGTGACCGGGATAGAGAGAGGGATGGAGGTAGACCTAGTGACCGGGATAGAGAGAGGGATGGAGGTAGACCTAGTGACCGGGATGGAGGTAGACCTAGTGACCGGGATAGAGAGAGGGATGGAGGTAGACCTAGTGACCGGGATGGAGGTAGAGCGAGGGATACAGATAGAGACAGAGAGGGGGACAGACCCAGAGACAGAGGTGCGGATGAGAGCCTTGGCTCTGGGCTAGGCCGGAGTCTGCCTCCCCTCTCCCTCGGAGCTCTGAAAAGTCGCTTCCTCAAGCCTGCTGACGATGATGATGGAGGTGAGTTGAGTGTAGTACCTTGTTCCACACACACAAATATACACACACACACTCTACTGATACATTTATTTTCTAGACGGAGTGTCAGCCCCTGCTCCGGCCCGAACTTCCATGGGTTTCCTGAAACCTGTGTCTGACGATGAGGAGTCGGATCGGAAGAGCAGTGGTCCGGCCTGGAGGAAGAGCAGCTCCGGACAGAAATCTGCTTCAGGAAAACCAGAGCAGGATAAAGAGAGGGAGTCTGGGATTACCATGTCCTCTCCTGACCAGGGTCATAGCAGCAACAGGCCTGCAGTGACATCATCCAGGTCAGAGGCCATAGCACTGTTCCAACTGTTAATTTTGGCTTCCTCTCCCCCCTCTACTAATCACTCATCTAACATCTCTAATATGCTTGGATGCACTACATTTCAACTGAATATGATTTATCGGTACTAGAGATGTTTAGCTATTGGCTAGACTGAACTTGTAGAAGCATTCTTCCAATCCCCAGAAGATTCTCTGAATATCTGAACTCTGAACCTGAAGTCATTTATTCTCTGTAAGACTAAGATTGTATTTTTCTACACACACTGTCCTTGACCCTGTTCCTGTCTACTGATGGGGAAAACCTTTCCATCACTTCATCCTAACTTTAAAATGACCCCCTCAGACGATTCTGTCCTCCACTTGACCTTCTCCTCTCTTTTTACACACAATCTTTCCCTCCGTTCATCAGACAGTCTGCACAGTGACCGTTTAGCCGTTCCAAAGCAGCAGTTATCACTTCACGCACCATAGAATGCTCACTGAATTAACTGGATTTTCTCTCGTTCATATTCACTGTCTCTTTTTCTCGCCTTCACTCCCTCTATACCCATCTCTCTCTCCCATCTCTCCTCATTCTTCTATTCCTGTTTCCAACACCGTTCTCTCTCTTTCTCTCCGTCCTTATTGCTCCACCGCTCCCCCTTCTCTCTCTATCATTAGCTAAGTCATTAAGTTAAACCTGCACCCAGAAGCCCTTTAAACCTCTGCAGCGTGAAATGAAGGTGCCGTTTTAGAAGAAGGTAATGTGTGAGGAGAGAAACAGTCTGGAGGGAACGAGACAGAAGAAGCCTGTTTCTGAGACGACGACCATCAGAAAGAACATGGCAGAAAGAGAGAGGGGGGTGGGTTAGAAAGGGATGGAGTGAGAAAGAGAGCAGGGAAATGGACCGGAAAGAGAGCGAAGGGTGGCGTGGGAGGGAGGGATAGAGAGAGAGAGCCATCAGGGGAGAGGAGAGCAGAACAGCTATAAGGTCCTGATGGATCGGTGTCTGTTCCCATGCTGCTATTTATCTCTCTAACACACACCACCACACACAGGTGTCTGATGTTTACAATGTGTACCCCTTGTTGTCTTTGCTTAATTTCACTTTTCCCCTGTGTCTTCAGATCTGAGAGCAGTAGTGACAGTTCGAGTGAGGAGGAGGAAGAGGTACCGATCCTCACAGATGAAGAGATGAACAAACTGGGGGCCAGGCTGGTGAAGGCAGAGATTATGGGTAACACGGTGAGGTCGTCCACATGCATCGTCCGTGTTTCCTCTCCTTATCCTACCTGGTCACACAAAAAAAGACAGACAATTCCCCATTCTAGGCGCTTTCCTTACACCCCTGCCCATAGGCCCTTCCCTTAGCATATCAGGTCCCACAGCTCTCTCTCGCTCTCCTTGATCAAAGCAAACGACTCATTTTATAGCACTCACTCAGGCCACTCAACCCCCATCCATCTCTGTATGTCAATCCATACAGGTTTTACTGGCCTCAGTACTATATAACACACATTTATAACAGACAGTTTGACTGGCCCTTGACTACTCTATAGCAGACCACTAAGTTCCCCTGGTTTGATAGACACTGGGTTGATGTGTGTGTTTGTTAATTGCCTTTTAACTGTGTACTTGTATACCCTATAGATTAACAGCATGGGCATCTGTCACTAGAGACAGGCTTCAGAGGACTGAGTGTGGATGTGCCCACTACTTTTCTATATCCCCTTCAGAGGACTGAGTGTGGATGTGGCCACTACTTTTCTATATCCCCTTCAGAGGACTGAGTGTGGATGTGGCCACTACTTTTCTATATCCCCTTCAGACTGTCTGCTCTGACAGTGTCCAGTCACAGGCAGCTCTTCTTAACTGACAAGGGCCTGGTGGAGATGGGCCAGGCAAGAACGAACACACACACACACACACACACTCAGTGGCTTCTTCTGCTGCTTTTCCACATTATCCACATCCCTCTCATGAGACAGAGGGTTAGAAGGAGATGGTGGTGAAAACATCTCTTATTCAGTAGGCTTTAATATTTAGACTCATGGGAAGGGCTGCAGGGGTGAAGGACACCACCATACTACTATGTTTAGTAGAATCACTGATTGAACAGTCAGCCTCTTGTAGTGGTCAAATACGATCAGGAGAGGTTGTTAAATGTAATTCAGTGTGTTATGGATGGATGGAGAAACAGCACTCTGTGTACGAGAAATCCAGACAGGTAACGTCTTTAAATCATTAGTGTGGGCGGGGTGCTGTCAAGGAACATGTGACGTTTTTAAATGTGTGTCACCTTTAGGCTCTGATGGAGAAACTGAAGACCCAGCTGGAATCAGCCCGTAAAGCCAAGGAGAACCGTGCTGCACAGCAACCTGGGAAATCAGACAGGGTGAGTGGAGGTGTATAGGGAGGGAGGGAGGGACGGGCATTCTAGACTCTGCCTCCCTTACCCCTCAGGGAGCCAAGAGGATAAGGTAGTAGCCTACTGTAAGTATGTGCTACTCTTGTGGAGATGACTACTAGCACTTTAGAACAAACTAAATCACTGTCAGCTGACTGACTGAGTGCTCAATAGCAACAAGCCTGCAGGCTGATTGACTGCTTTACCCATGTCTGTCTGTCTGTCTCTGCCTGCCTGCCTGCCTTTCTCTCAGAATACCTGCTGACTGAAAGCCTGTCTAGAATTGTATATTCTCTCCTGTTAGCAGTAAGAGTTGTCTTTGATATGAACCTAGTGTTGTAGAGTATATACCCTCCCAACACATCTACCCCAGTCAGATGTGTTCCCTAGCAGTCTCTCCTGTCCTGTTATGGGTTTATCCAAACAGAGAGCTCATAACTCCACTTTTAATACACAAGTGGCTCAAATTAAAGCTGTTATTGCGTCATCATCTTCCACCAGGCATGAGGAATCTGACACTCAAAGCTGAGGTATCTTCAAAAACAACATCACATCTAAACATTTATTAGAAAATACAATCGCTGTTAGTCTGCGGCGGTCTACTTTTCCTGTGTGTGTGTCATTGGGTTTACTGACTGAGCGTTGGTAGTCATTAGTAGAGAGTTATGGCTAACACTTGCCGCACTGTTCTTTCTGTCCTTGGCTGTGGTCATGCCTTGAATGCAAACCTGCGCCACCATCCAACACCTCCCTGATATACAGACTGCACACGCGATCTTATAAATGCACACGCGATCTGCTAAATGGCATATTATTATTATTATTATTATTTATTATTATCTTATAATATAATATAATATAATAATATGCCATTTAGCAGACGCTTTTATCCAAAGCGACTGACAGTCATGCGTGCATACATATTATTATTTTTTTGTGTATGGGTGGTCCCGGGGATCGAACCCACTACCCTGGCGTTACAAGCGCCGTGCTCTACCAGCTGAGCTACAGAGGCTGGCTAGTGCTCACTACATGGTCATAATATCCCACAACCACTTGTTAATTCACCAGTGTGTATTAAAGCTTTACAGACCTAATCTGTGGTTTGTTTACAACTCTGAATTTATTGTAGGATTTTTTTTTATGACAGAGGGGTTATGGGTGGTTTTCAAGGATCAAAGACTTTCTCCTTCAGTGAAACGCTCTACTTGCTTTTGGTGTTTTTTTTAGGAAAGGGTATGGCCCGTGTCTATTGTTAGTGGTGGTAATCATCGTAGCCAAAGCTGTCTCTCTTTCACTTCTCTCGCACTCCTTGAATGTCCTCTGCTATTCCCCCCTCTCTCTCTTTCCTCCCCCCCTTCTTTTTCCCCCCCCCCCCCCCCCCCCCCTCTCTCTCTGTCATGTCAGCTTTGAATGAAACCCTCTAGTGCAGGGATTTCCAACTCGATTCAGCCGCGGGCCAATTTCTTTTCTTGACAGGATGGTCAGAGGTCCGCCAGTTGGGGAACCCTGCTCTAGTGAGCTGTCTGATTGTGAACTCTCTCCTCTGCCTCTCCTCAGTTAGGTTTTTCTGTGTTGCTTCTCTTTTCATTAGTGAGGAGAATAAGAATATGGAGAAGTAGGCTAATGTATTACTGTTCCTCTCTTGGTGAGATCTGCTATAATCTCTTCAGACTCCTCAGTGAGGGTGTGGCTGTTGGAGTTATTCCACACTCTTCATTGTCCCCCACAATGAAATCGGGGAGGGGACTGTGGATCGGTCTCCGTTCGTACGTTAGCCACACGCGATATCTCAGACAGCACTAGCCCGATTTTGACGAAACTTGGGGGAATGATGTGTCTTGCCATAGAGATCTGGCATTTACAAAATTACACTGATTGGCTAGATGGTGGCGCTATAATGAGATTGAAAATGCAAACTTTGAAAGGTCACGCACCTCACCCCGTTTGCCCTGAAGTCATGAAATTCAGTACATGGGTGCATCTCCTCACAAGGAAAGAAATATGCCTCAGGGACCAATAAGGTCTGCCATTATGGATTTTCCACCATTTTGTTTTTTTGTGTGGAAAACACTCATCTTCTGGCACCGAATGACCGATCTGCGCGAAACTTGATATGTGGCATCTATGGACAAACGTTTTCAGACTAGTACCTAAAACAACCAATAAACATTCACGTGGCCGTGGTCTGGCACAAATGCATATAAATCAGTCAAGGATATTCGTATTGTAACACAATTTTGTGCACATGTTGCAAACACTGTCAGGACTCAACATAACAAAGTACATTCATATCAACCACGCAGTGGCGCTATAACGGGCACGTGTTTATCTCTTGATCTGTTTGACTCAGAGTGCTGAAATTTGGCACACATGCTCAGGGATATGAGTCTAGCTAACCCACGCAAAACTTGGTGAATGATGCGTCTTGCCATAGACGTGTTTACAAAATTACACTGATTGGCCCAAAGGGGGCGCTGCATCATTCGTAGGGGACTGCATGTTTACTGTTGCCTTTTTTGATCATGGTTAGTGATACACCCAGCAGTCATACAAGCTCTCTCTCAAGACTGATTGGAGAGGTCGTGTGGAGGGCTCTGTCCTTTTTCTTTTGATGATTTCTATTGTCTCAAATCAAATCAAATTTTATTTGCCACATGCGCCAAATACAACAGGTGACATTACCGTGAAATGGTTACTTACAGCCCTTAACCAACAATGCATTTATTTCTTAATAAAAAAGTAAAATAAAACAACAACAACAAAAAAGTGTTGAGAAAAAAAGAGCCGAAGTAAAATAAAATAACAGTAGGGTACCGGTGCAGAGTCAATGTGCGGGGGCACCGGCTAGTTGAGGTAATTTGTACATGTGGGTAGAGTTAGTGACTATGCACTTCATGGCTACAGACGTCAGTGCTACGGGTCGGTAGTCATTTAGGCAGGTTATCTTAGTGTCCTTGGGCACGGGACTATGGTGGTCTGCTTGAAACATGTTGGTATTACAGACTCAGTCAGGGACATGTTGAAAATGTTGGTGAAGACACTTGCCAGTTGGTCAGCACATGCTCGAAGTACACATCCTGGTAATCCGTCTGGCCCTGCAGCCTTGTGAATGTTGAACTGCTTAAAAGTCTTACTCACATCGGCTACGGAGAGCGTGATCACATAGTCATCCGGAACATCTGGTGCTCTCATGCATGCTTCAATGTTGCTTGCCTCGAAGCGAGCATAGAAGTGGTTTAGCTCGTCTGGTAGGCTTGTGTCACTGGGCAGCTCGCGGCTGTGCTTCCCTTTTGTAGTCTAATAGTTTTCAAGCCCTGCCACATCCGACGAGTGTCAGAGCCGGTGTAGTACGATTCAATCTTAGTCCTGTATTGACTCTTTGCCTGTTTGATGGTTCGTCGGAGGGCATAGCGGGATTTCTTATAAGCGTCCAGGTTAGAGTCCCGCTCCTTGAAAGCGGCAGCTCTACCCTTTTAGCTCAGTGCGGATGTTGCCTGTAATCCATGGCTTCTGGTTGGGGTATGTACGTACGGTCACTGTGGGGACGACGTCATCGATGCACTTATTGATGAAGCCAGTGACTGATGTGGTGTACTCCTCAATGCTATCTGAAGAATCCCGGAACATGTTCCAGTCTGTGCTAGCAAAACAGTCCTGTAGCTTAGCATCTGCATCATCTGACAATTTTTTTATTAACCGAGTCACTGGTGCTTCCTGCTTTAGTTTTTGCTTATAAGCAGGAATCAGGAGGATAGAGTTATGGTCAGATTTGCCAAATGGAGGGCGAGGGAGAGCTTTGTATGCGTCTCTGTGTGTGAAGTAAAGGTGGTCTAGAGTTTATTTTCCTCTGGTTGCACATTTAACATGCTGGTAGAAATTAGGAGGGCTTAAACAACGTTATTGTCCCCCATGATGAAATCGGAGGGCGGGACTATGGATCTGTCTCCATCCATTCGTACGTTAGTCACACGCAAAATCTCAGTCACCGCTGGCCTGATTTTGACGAAACTTGGGTGAATTATGCATCTTGCCATAGATTTCCGGCATCTACAAAATACCACTAATCGACCTAAGGGGGGCGCTATAGTAATCAACTGAAATTCCAAACTTTGAACAATCAAATCTTCTGTCCCGTTTGAGCTCTAATTGATGTCACTAATTAGGCTGGGGTGGGACAACATGTTTACTGTTGCCTTGTTTGATGGTGTGTGTAAGTTATTGCATTATCAGTGTGCCGTTATTCTGTGTGTAAGTGTTCCTGTAAACCCACCCAGCCATGGAAAAACGGCCTTATCAACTGTCGTGTTCCTCTTACAATAACACTGGATAATTTTATTTTACTGTAGAATAATGAATGTGCTGCTACCGTAATGTCTGCTATGTGATGAATTGTGTTTGAGTGTTGTGCTTGCATGTGTTTTTTCTGTTCTATGTTAGTCTTCATAACCCTCTCCCTCTCTTTTTGTTCAGCCTCCAGGTCAAACAGAGGAGGACCAGGAAGTACTTCTCTTCAGAACAGACCAATCGGGTCGTGCCTGGCCGGTCAACGCCTCTTCAGAACCCCAGGAGCCCAGAGGAGGACGTAGGAAAAAGAAGGCGGTGAGGAGTGTGTGTGTGTGTGTGTGTGTGTGTGTGTGTGTGTGTGTGTGTGTGTTATGTTAGGTTGTGTGAAATGAGGCCAGAGTGTCTCCTCTGTCTGGACTTACCTGGGAGTGAAGAGATGTATCACAAATTGATTTTGCCACATCAACAATACAAACAGTCTCCCTCTCTTAACTGTGCTTATGTAAACAGATCTAAAGTATATTCTCTGTTTATGATTTATAATGACTTTATGAAGTGTAACAGAGAGAGTGTCTCGTCTACAGCATCTCTCTTTTCTCCCACTCCCTCTTTCTCTCCATCTCTATTGGTTACACATAGGGATGGGGAAAGAGAGGTATTTTCAGAATTCTAATCATGTCTCTCTCTCCTGGTCAGATTGAGACCCACAGGGATGGGGAGCGTGTGAGATACTTCCAGGATGATGACAGTGTGGGTCTTCATGAGATGGTCCGCAGGGAGAAGATGAGCTCTGCAGAGGACCAGAACTCCCTCTACGCACGCATGGCTGGCAAGGTACGCTGCATTCGCTACAAACAACCTTTCCCGTCTGTAAAATGTAAATGTACTCATCCAAGACATCAATCTGGCAACCTAGAACACCATAGAGTTTTGGACGATCTTTTTTTTGGCTTAATCCTTTAATCTGCATTTATTTGAGGTCAGTTGGTAGAGCGTGGCGATTGCAATGCCAGGGTTGTGGGTTCGATTCCCACTGGGGGTCAGTATGAAAAATGTATGCACTCACTAACTGTAAGTCGCTCTGGATAAGAGCGTCTGCTAAATGACTAAAATGTAAATGTAAATTTAGAGTCCACACTGCAGAACCACTAGCAGAGTAGAGTTTGTTCCCCTATCAAGACGGGCATTGCTCTGGCAGTGACTATTTCTAGGGTTGCTGGGGTAGGTAACCTTGGGTTACAGCAGAACACTGTAGTGGGTAGCTACCCAATCAGTGAGGAGGAGGGAACTACTCGTTATCCTAGCATCTCTTAAAAAATAAAAAATACTTTTCCCCCCCACATCAAATTTGTATTATTTCAATTCATATCAGTTTTCGTATCAGTTTGATAGGTTTTCCCATTGAAAATACTTACGGTGTCTCTTAGTAGAAGGTCTTTGGTGCAATCTGTGAGACAGGATAAGTCAAGGTTAATATGTCAGCTCCCCCTGAGGGCAGAATGGAGAGAACAGCCTTCTGGGATGTGTAGTCTTGCAGCCTCACTTCCTGTGTACTAGAAACATACAGAGTAGCAGATGGGTGTGTCATATTTATCAATCTGAATTGGTATCCTTACAGTTTTAAGTGAGTCTCTCTCGCTCTCTTTTCATCGCTCTCTTTTTCTCTAAGTATATGAATAAATATTTTGGAGTACAGAGGTGTGTCTGTGTTGGAGAGAGGAGAGAGAGCGATGGATAGAGGGCGAGAAGTATAGAGAGAGAAAGCATTATTAATAAACTAGGAGATGTCAGTTGCCATGGTGATTCAAAATGAAAGCGACAAAGTTGCACCTTTTTTAGCTCTCTCTCTGTGGGCTATATCATTAGCTCCGCACACACACACACTCTCTCTCTCTCCTTAGCTCCACTGTAAGCCTACAAGCAGGGACTAGACTCTATAAATACTGCTACGGTTACCATGGCATAGTGACTATAAATACTAGATCTAGTCATTTATATATTTATAATGTGCATGGAGAGAAAGTAATTGTCTCAACACCCACCACCCTAGTCCTTATGGCTTTAACACTGGCCTGGTTACTCCTCAACCACCACCCAAATCTGACTTTTGATTTCTTCAATCAAGATGGTCTGATAACCAGTTAATAGATATATGGTGTTAAAATATTAGCCGTCTGTCTCCTGTATCAACGTTTGTCTGGGTTTAGTTTTCCCTCACCGTATGTAAATATGTTTTCAGCAGCTGGATGCATCTACACTATGCCTAAATCCTAGACCTGGTATTTATGTTGATGTTTCAATGGTGCCAGGGTACAAGGATAGCTAGTCTTTTATACTCTGGCCAGGGTACAAGGATAGCTAGTCTTTTATACTCTGGCCAGGGTATAAGGATAGCTAGTCTTTTATACTCTGGCCAGGGTAGAAGGATAGCTAGTCTTTTATACTCTGGCCAGGGTACAAGGATAGCTAGTCTTTTATACTCTGGCCAGGGTACAAGGATAGCTAGTCTTTTATACTCTGGCCAGGGTATAAGGATAGCTAGTCTTTTATACTCTGGCCAGGGTAGAAGGATAGCTAGTCTTTTATACTCTGGCCAGGGTACAAGGATAGCTAGTCTTTTATACTCTGGCCAGGGTACAAGGATAGCTAGTCTTTTATACTCTGGCCAGGGTATAAGGATAGCTAGTCTTTTATACTCTGGCCAGGGTACAAGGATAGCTAGTCTTTTATACTCTGGCCAGGGTAGAAGGATAGCTAGTCTTTTATACTCTGGCCAGGGTACAAGGATAGCTGGTCTTTTATACTCTGGCCAGGGTACAAGGATAGCTAGTCTTATACTCTGATACTGTATTTTCTTCCCTATACCTTCTGTGGCATAACCGGTCGGATTCCAGGAGCATTTGCTTTTTGCACTTTCTTGGTTCCCTGTTCCACCACCCACCACTGTTGCTCAATCGAAACAAGGCAAAGTCCCATTCAGGGTATATGCGTGCGTGCGTGCGTGTGTGCGTGCGTGCTTGCGGCCCAGGTAGAAGTTGTCTAAAACTCCAGCAGTGAGGTGTGGCAGTTACACACACACACACACACACACAGACCTGTGGGAAATTGATTCATTATCCACAGAGTGAAGGCTGGCAATATAAACCCCACATTGGCCGAGCACACACACAGTCACACATGCGCTTATCACATCTCTGCCTTAGTGTCCGTAAGCAGCTTTAGCTAGAGCGAATGTCTCCCTGTACTCTGTCTGAGAGAGAAAGATCAAATTAGAGCTGGAATTAGAGTAGATAAATCAGAGCTGATATTAGATCAGCCTTTTGTTCCTGTTCTAGAGTCGACTTCCCTCCTAAAGGGAGGCACTGGTAGAGGTGTGGTATGGGTGATACCGTTCTGACTGACTACCCAATGAGGTGTTGGATTTTCATGGGTGATGAGGTGATGGAATGCACACGCTATGCTCTCACACATACAATAGACTAGACGGGCATGTTGTTGTACATACACACACCTAGGCCTGCTCTCACACAGACCCAGACCTGTCAATCAGTCAGGACAGGGTGTGGAGACACCACATCCCCACAGCTCACCCTGTATCCATGGAGATGCCTCTCTGTCACTGCCATTTTAAAAAAAGATCCTTCAAGCAACACTCAACCATCAGATCCTATAGACATGGTTTAGTGACAAAATGACAACTTAACCAACACAAACACAACTTTTCAAAGCACCCTCCTATCTTGTTTCTGTGTGCAATGTGAGGTGGGAATATTCGTCCGCTGTTCGATGCTCCCTAGTGTGATCTTTATTGAGCTACAACAATGACGTGCACTGATCTAACAATGACGTCTGTTAACTGACCCGGCTACAGCAATATGGATTTGTATTGATAGACTGATTAATTACTCTAGTCTAGTGTGAGACTAGCCCTTTGGGTCTCTCTCTCTCCGTGTGTGTGTGTGTGTGTGTGTGTGTGTGTTGAAAACCACTCTAGGTCATGCACCGACTCATTTGGGGAAATCACTATAATAAGTTAATAATCACACTTTGGGCAAACAGTGAGCAAACAAACATATTTATCTCCCTCCCTCCCCCTCTGTCAGATGATGGGGAAGACCGACGATGACAACTACACCCTGGATGACATGTTTGTTTCGAGCGCGGCTCAGAGAGAGGGGGAGGGGAGGGACGAGGACAGGATGAGGAGCAGAGCCATAGCGGAACACAGGCGACTGGCCGTTACCATGGAGAAATGCCATCACTGCTTCAGCAACCCCGAGCTCCAGAAACACCTGCTCATTGCCATAGGAACCAAGGTGAGGAAGTAGGGAAGGAGCGTTTGGCCCCCTGGGATTTGTAGTGTCAGATTGGTTAGTATGTTTTTTGACTGTGTGTGTTTTTTGTTGTTGTTTGTGTGTGTGTTTTTTGACTGGGTGTGTTTTTTGACGTGTGTGTTTTGACTGTGGGGGGAAGGGTTGGTTTGACTGTGTGTGTGTGTGTTCTGACCATGAGTGTGTGTCTGCAGGTGTATCTGAGCCTGCCTGGAGGTGTGTCTCTGACAGAGGGTCACTGTCTGATCACTCCGCTGCAACACCACTGCTCTGCCACTGGATTGGACGAGGACGTGTGGACAGAGATCCAGGTTAGCCAATCAAAAACACGGGTTCTACTATAGCCTAGACATGCCCGCCCACCTTTCAGATTTTCACTGATTGGTCGAGAATGGAGGTTGTGTGTGACGTTGTGTGTTTGTCCTGTGTGCAGGTGTTCCGCAGGGCATTGGTGCAGATGTTTGAGTCTCAGGATCAGGACTGTGTGTTTATGGAGACTCATATGAACCCAAAGAGACGCCAGCACATGGTCCTGGAGTGTCTCCCTTTACCCAGAGAACTGGGAGACATGGCTCCTATCTACTTTAAGGTGTGTGTTTGTCTTCCTATAGAAAACTATCTATAGAATAGATGAGCTGTGGGTTAATAACGTGTGTGTGTTCTACAGAAAGCCATCATGGAATGTGATGAGGAGTGGGCGATGAATAAGAAGGTTGTGGATCTCTCCTCCAAAGACATCCGCCATGCTGTGAGTTATACCTCCATCTTCTCTTTCCCTGTTCCTCTTGTCACATCTTTCCCCCTTCCTCACTCCTGAAATGCCTTTAGCCCTCTTTCCCTCCATACCTCCCTCTCTCTACCAAGCTCCAGAACCAGTTGCCTGTCCCTGAGTTAGGGCTTTTAAGGGGGTGTATTCTGTGAGTGTGTATGACAGTGTGTTCTCTCTGTGCCAGGTGCCGCGGGGTCTGCCGTATTTCTCAGTCGACTTTGGTCTTCAGGGGGGCTTTGCTCACGTCATTGAAAACGAACACAAGTTCCCCCACTACTTTGGCAAGGTCAGTGAATTACAACTACTATGGGGCGCTTTTACTGTCTGCTGCATTTTTTATTTTTTTTACCTTTATTTAACTAGGCAAGTCAGTTAAGAACAAATACTTATTTACAATGACGGCCTACACCGGCCAAACCCGGACGACGCTGGGCCAATTGTGCACCGCCCTATGGGACTCGGCCGGTTGTGATACAGCCTGGAATCGAACCAGGGGGTCTGTATTGACGCCTCAAGCACTGAGATGCAGTGCCTTAGACCACTGCGCCACTCGGGAGCCCAATCACTAACCCTTCTCCCCCTCCTTCTCCCCCTCCTTCTCCCCTCCTTCTCCCCTCCTTCTCCCCTCCTTCTCCCCTCCTTCCTCCCTCCTTCCCCCCTCCTCCTCCCTCCTTCCCCCCTCCTCCTCCCTCCTTCCTCCCTCCTCCTTCCCCCCTCCTCCTCCCTCCTTTCCCCATCCTTCTCCTTTTCCCTCATCTCTTTCTCTCCTTCTCTACCTCTCCCCTCTCCTTCTCTACCTCTCCCCTCTCCCTCTCCTTCTCTACCTCTCCCCTTCTACCTCTCCCCCTCTCTACCTTTCTCCTTCTTCCTCTCCCCCTCTCCTTCTTCCTCTCCCCCTCACCACCTCCTTCTCTCCCTTTCCTCCTCTCCCCTCTCCTCCTCTCCCCTTTCCTTCTCCCCCTCTCCTCCTCTCTCCTCTCCTTCTCTACCTCTCCCCTCTCCTTCTCTCCCCTCTCCTTCTCCTTCTCTCCCCCTCTCCTTCTCTCTCCTCTCCTTCTCCTCCTCTCCCCTCTCCTCCTCTCCCCTCTCTTCAGGAGATAGTTGGTGGGATGTTGGACGTGGAGCCGAGGATATGGAGGAAGTCCATCAGGGAGAACTTTGACAACCAGCGGAAGAAAGTCCTTGAGTTCTCCCAGTGGTGGAAACCCTTCGACTGCACCAAGACGGACAGCTGAACCAGCCAACCAACACGTCTCAATAAACCCCTAGCCCCTTGTATATCTGAAATTATAAACCTGGTGGTTAGAGCCCTGAATGCTGATTGGCTGACAGCCATGGTATATCAGACCGTATACCACGGGTATGACAGAACATGTATTTGTATTACCCTAATTATGTTGGTAACCAGTTTATAATAGCAATAAGGCACCTCTGGGGTTTGTGCTTTATGGCCTATATGCTTCGGCTAAGGGCTGTATCCAGGCACTGTATCCGTTGAGCCCTGTGTAGCTCAGTTGGTAGAGCATGGCGCTTGCAACGCCAGGGTTGTGGGTTCGACAGGGTTGTGTAAGTCGCTCTGGATAAGAGCGTCTGCTAAATGACTAAAATGTAAATGTAAAATGTAAACAGCCCTTAGCCGTGGTATATTGACCATATACCACAACCCCTCGTACCTTGTTGCTTAAATATACAGTAGATGTAACTGCAAGCCGTATGGTGTTAGCCCTGCCTCGTCCTCTGATGGGTTAAGACTAAGAGGAGTATGCTTTATAACCCTCTGATTCTGTCAACACACTGTTTTACTCCATTCTGATTAAATAAGGGCAGAAGGCCATAAAATACAACGATTTAAAAGCTGATGTACAATTGTGTATGTTGGTATATGTTTTTTTACTCTGTTAAAAAAAAAATGATAATGATGCATTCTGTTCTTTTACATTTTACGTTGCTGTCATTTAGCAGACGCTCTTATCCAGAGTGACTTACAATTAGTGCATTCATTTTAAAAGAGATGGGTGAGACAACCAGATATCACAATCGTAGCAAGTACATGTTCCCCTCAAAATACAGTAGTTATCAGCAAAGTCAGTGCTAGTAGAAAAAGATAAGTAGATTTATTTTAATTTAATTTACTGCTTTGTCATCAGGTAACTTGTAAACACCAAAAACACAGCCGCATACACGAACACACACACACTTTTACTCGTGGCTAAACAGCCAAACCTGACCCAGCAGCTGCCTTCATCATTCAGACACTAGATTGGTCTAGACATGACTAAACCACTCCAATGGCTCCTATTACTGTCCCCTGAAAGACCCCGCTCTCACTCGCTCTCTCTCCTCCCTATCCTATTATCTAAGTCTCTCTTTTCTCTCTTCCTCTCCTCTCTCCATATTTCTCTTATCACTCATCTCGCCCGCGCGTGTGTGTCAATGGTTGTCTCCATGTGTGTGTTGTAGACCGTAAATGGTCCCATGTCATCAGTAATGGTATTCTAGTGGTGACGAGTGATCTGTGGTTATGCCCACTTAGATGGACCTGGGACAGATTTACAGCCAAGCTCCACTCTACTGTCCCCCTCCTGCTGACGCACACATTCTCTGTCTCTCTCCCTCACACACACCCACCCACCGTCAGGCCATATCCCATGACTAAACTGACCAGTTCTGGTTAACAGTGGCGTTTATCACAGTACGGTGCAGACAAGTGCTCAACTTGGTTTTACGGTTTACACACAAACACAGGGTAGAGCAGACAGCGTTAGTCCTCCGCGGCCTATATGGCTGCGTTTATACAGGCAGCCCAATTCTGGTTAATTGGTCTTTTGACCAATCAGATCAGCTCTGAAAAAGATCTGATGTGATTGATCAAAAGACCAATTTAGTGAGTGAAAAAAATCAGAATTTGGCTGCCTGTCTAAACCCAGCCTACGTTTGTTCTGAGATACTAGCCTACAGTCAGTTGGAACTAGATCAGACAAGGGGGAGGTGAGTGTATATCTGAATGACGTGAGGCTCTGTGTGACTTAACGGTAGGCTCCTCTGAGCCACTTCATGCACCATCTCTGCTAGCTCTGCTAATTTCATGTGACTGACGGAACAATGTTACCTTTGGTTGTGAGCGTTAGTGCCTCTGACTGACATTAACATTATCTTTGGCTGTGTTTTATTATATCTGTAGTATTTAGGTGCATTGTGATGACTGGCTGTCTCTTGCGCAACATCCATCTCTACAAAAAGCATACCTTAAGGGAATCACAACTGTAACTGACTGTTGAAAACCCTGTTATTACTGCCTGTTGATCTGGAGGGAGATGGAGGAGACATATGGAATATTCAGCCAAGAGGGGTTTTATGGGTAACACATACACCACAATTTAAATAATGGCTTTAAAATTGAAGTTGGGTTTTCGGTAATGTCAACTGAAGGGACGAGTCTTCATACTGTAGGCTATGTTCCCTTTCAATAGTAACAAGCATTGCGTAAGCAGCATTTTTGTCTTCTTCATGTAACATTTAATTCTAATCTTCAATAAACCTAATCATCTAATGATTTGTTAAAGGTATTACACAATAGACCCATCCTCTGAGCACACACGGTCAAGGATTTCCCTTGCTTTTAGTCTGGAGAGATATGGATAAATTGTTGCTGCAGGTTTATTAAATATCCTTATTTGTTTATAGTTATTGAGGTGGTGTAGCTAGATAAGTTTAACTTTTGTTAATGTAGTGTATGTGGACACATACTTGTCGAACATCTCATTCCAAAATCATGGGGATTAATATGGAGTTGGTCCCCCCCTTTGCTGCTATAACAGCCTCCACTCTTCTGGGAAGGCTTTCCACTAGATGTTGGAACATTGCTGCGGGGACTTGCTTCCATTCAGCCACAAGAGCATTAATGAGGTCAGGGCACTGATGTTGGGCGATTAGGCCTGGCTAGCAGTCGGCGTTCCAATTCATCCCAAAGGTGTTTGATGGGGTTGAGGTCATGGCTCTGCGCAGGCCAGTCAAGTTCTTCCACACCGATCTTGACAAACCATTTCTGTATGGACCTCGCTTTGTGCACGGGGGCATTGTCATGCTGAAACAGGAAAGGGCCTTCCCCAAACTGTTGTCACAATGTTGGAAGCACAGAATCGTCTAGAATGTCATTGAATGCTGTAGCATTTAGATTTCCCTTCACTGGAACTAAGGGGCCTAGCCCAAACCATGAAAAACAGCCCCAGACCATTATTCCTCCTCCACCAAACTTCACAGTTGGTACAATGCATTTGGGCAGGTAGCGTTCTCCTGGCATCCACCAAAACCAGATTTGTCTGTCGGACTGCCAGATGGTGAAGCGTGCATCATCACTCCAGAGAACACATTTCCACTGCTCCAGAGTCCAATGGCGGCAAGCTTTACACCACTCCAGCTGACTCTTGACATTGTGTATGGTGATCTTAGGCTGCTCGGCCATGGAAACCTGTTTCATGAGCTCCCGACTAACAGTTATTGTGCTGACGTTGTTTCCAGAGGCAGTTTAGAACTTGTTAGTGAGTGTTGCAACTGAGGACAGACGATTCTTACGCGCTTTAGCACTCGGTGGTCCTGTTCTGTGAGCTTGTGTGGCTTACCACTTCTCGGCTGAGCCATTATTGCGCCTAGATGTTTCCACTTTACAATAACAGCACTTACAGTTGACCAGGGCATAAATTTGACGAACTGACTTGTTGGAAAGGTAGCATCATATGACGGTGCCACGTTGAAAGTCACTGAGCTCTTCAGTAAGGCAATTCTACTGTCAATGTATGTCTATGGAGATTGCATGGCTGTGTGCTCAATATTATACACCTGTCAGCACAGGTGTGACAAATAGACAATCCACTAATTTGAAGGGGTGCCCACATACTTTTGTCTATATAGTGTATTTCAATGTCATCTTTTTGGGTCAGGGCACACTGCTTTGGCAAATATATATTTTTAAATAATTGCACATCCAGGAAAATGACCGCTGTGTATGTGTAAATATGTTTTGCATATTTATGCAGTGTGTGTTTATCCAGAGTGTATGTAAGCACTATCCTGTTGTCTTCCGTTTTTGTGTCTCAGGCTGGGGGTATAGTCAGGCACATGGGCAGGTCAAGGTCACTGAAGCGATTAGTGTTCAACATGAATTCCGCCCTGTCGCATGCTGCGGTTCCGCGATTTTAATTACCCTAATAACGTCAGTTACCTTTTATCATGTGTTTATTATGGGGACAGAGAGCCGGTTCTTATAGGAGAGGAGGCTGTGCGAACCAAAGACACCCGTTGACTTTAGTGGTGTACTATATCATAGTCTAGCCTACTAGAACCAAGTCTACCTTAAATTATTGTTTTATCTCAATGACCTCGAGTAAAGTAAGAAGTACATTATTTACATCGGTCAGTATTCAGTTGATTATGGCAAGTTGGTCTAGGATACAAACACACTGAATATGTTCTGCTGGCATTGCACAGTGGGGCCAGCTTGCATATTGTGTGGCAATTGAAAATAATTAAGGATCAAATCACATGCAAACACTATGCCTATTTGATTTGTAGGTTATGGTGTTCGTTCTCCTGCAGTTGCTTGTAGTACTCTAGCGTCTCCTCCGTCAGTATCTGCGCCATACATTAGCCTAGCCCTTGACTCAATTCTCCCTCTCATATGGATGGTAGGGAGGGGGGGAGGGGTGGGGGGGTTAGTCTGATATTATATCTGATTGGCGGTGGCGGTAGAATAGTGATGCTGTAGAGCTTGAGCAGAGTGGACAGATAGAACTCCACTAGGCAGCAGCTCGAGCAGATGTTTGACTGCATGCTGACTGCGCGAGCATCTCTCGGTATCTTCCGATCCTCCTCGGGCCCGCACCGCACTAGGAGAGGAATACATCCAGCTAACTGCAGGGATGAAGGAATGACAGAATGAATAGTTAAAACACACAGAGAGAGAGTCAGAAAGCCGTGAAGAGAGAGTCAGAAAGCCGTGAAGCCGCAGAGGATGTGATAGTGGCGAGGTGCGCAGCAGGCAAAATACTTCTAAAAGGGAAAACAAAAAGTACAAGGGTTAAAACCGTTAGACATGAGATTCAGCTGGTGAATCTAGTCCCTCTCTCTGGCCGACGCGAGTGCATCTTTGTTTGGGGAATAGGTTTTTTCTCTAAATGCTCGCGTGCCGTTAGTGTCGCTCTTGACCGGCGCGCGCGCCTCCCCATCTTTTCCACGCAAGTGAATCTGATGAGTCCCCGTGGCCGTGTGTTTCGTCGCCGCACGCGTACGCGCACGGACTTCTCGTGCTTAGCAGCAGCAGCATGTCCTCGCGCAAGATCTCGTCGGAGTCGTTCAGCTCGATGGGCTCGGAGTGCCTGGAGAGCCCCGGAGATGATGGCGACTCCTGTCCATTTTCACGCATCTGGAACGGCAAGAGCCCCGTGGAGAAGCTCGCGTGCCCGTTCGAGGACGCACCGGGACCCAAACGGGCGACCAGACGGAAGCGCGTGAACCTGGACTCGCTCGGGGAGAGCTTGAGGAGGTTAACGTCGCCCACGGTAGGATACAGTAACAACAACTGCAGATAGAGATTTTCTCCGGTGTTCCTCTCTCCCCTCTGCATGCATCACCTGCGTGATTACACAAGGGCCAGCACCCTAGAGATGACTGTTAGAATAATGAGAGGGAGAGAGAGAGAGAAGAATGGGTAGTTGGTTCGGCCTATTCTATTTCACTCCTTACTGGGTGATGGGGTTGTTCTGGTGAGTGTACTGAAGGTAGATGTTTACTGTGTGTAGTGTAGATGTTTCCCTCTAGCCTCCTCTCCTCCATCTGCACTGATGTGAAAGAGGTGGACAGGTGAAATAAAATCCCTGGTTGGGAGGCCTCCACCTTACAGCATCATTAACCTGTGTTTTCAGAACCGTGTAGGTTAAGGAATAGAAACTAGGACATAAGCTAGATATTAGAGATGCATTTGTTGATGATGATTATGGTGATTAAAGATATCCTGTTCTAATACAAGACTGGTTTTAATTTCCTTGGTCCAAGGGAAGTGTTTAGCTTGCTACTCCCTGGCCAAAAGCAGAGACGCCACAACCCACTTTGAAATGAAAATATTTATGATACCTGCTTCTGTCAGAATTAGTGTGTGTGTGTCTGGGTCTGGGTCGGTGCCTCAGTACCTGTAATAAGAGGCTTACAGTCACAACGACCCTCTCTCAGTCAACCATGACCGGGAGGACAGAGAATGTACTTGGACCAAGTACATTCCTGATACTGTCAACCAGGCCAGCCACGGTGACCCAGAACAGAGGACACACACACAGCATCTTCACACACAAATGGGCATACCCTCCCACTGTCTCCACACATTATACCACATAAACACAAACACAAACATATGCAGGGAGGTGGTAGTTAGTGGAGAGACCCATAACTGTTCTAAAGTAGTGTGATTCATGAACTTCAAAGGCTGTGTGTGTACTGTGGGACATGGAGCTGTGTGTGTACTGTGGGACATGGAGCTGTGTGTGTACTGTGGGACATGGAGCTGTGTGTGTACTGTGGGACATGGAGCTGTGTGTGTACTGTGGGACATGGAGCTGTGTGTGTACTGTGGGACATGGAGCTGTGTGTGTACTGTGGGACATGGAGCTGTGTGTGTACTGTGGGACATGAAGCTGTGTGTGAACTGTGGGACATGGAGCTGTGTGTGTACTGTGGGACATGGAGCTGTGTGTGTACTGTGGGACATGGAGCCCAGCCAGTTTGCACTTCATTCCCTAATTAAAGCAGTACACTGACACACTCACATACAAACATACTGCCTTAGAGGAGAGAGGAGAACTGCTTGAGGAGAGAGAAAGGAGGAGAGAGGAGAACTGCTTGAGGAGAGAGAAAGGAGGAGAGAGGAGACTGCCTTGAGGTAGAGAAGGAGGAGAGCTGAGACTGCTTGAGGAGAGGAAGAGGATAGGAGAACTGCTTGAGGAGAGAAAGGGAGAGGGGATAAACTGCTTTGAGGCTAGCGAAAGGAAGGATAGAGGAGAACTGCTTGGGAAGGGAAGGAAGAGAGAGGAGAACTGCTTGAAGAGAGAGAAATAGGAGGAGAGAGGAGTAACTGCTTCAGGAGAGAGAAAGAGGAGAGAGGAGAACTGCTTCAGGGAGAGAAAGGAGGAGAGAGGATAACTGCTTGTGGAGAGAGAAAGGAAGAGAGAGGAGAACTGCTTGAAGAGAGAGAAAGAGGAGGAGAGAGGATAACTGCTTCAGGAGAGAGAAAGGAGGAGAGAGGAGAACTGCTTCAGGAGAGAGAAAGGAGGAGAGAGGATAACTGCTTGAGAGATGAGAAAGGAGGAGAGAAAGGAGAACTGCTTGAGGAGAGAGAAAGGAGGAGAGAGGAGAACTGCTTGAGGAGAGAGAAAGGAGGAGAGAGGAGAACTGCTTGAGGAGAGAGAAAGGAGGAGAGAGGAGAACTGCTTGAGGAGAGAGAAAGGAGGAGAGAGGAGAACTGCTTGAGGAGAGAGAAAGGAGGAGAGAGGAGAACTGCTTGGAAGAAGAAATGAGAGAGAGAGAAACTGCTTGAGGAAGAGAAAGATTGAATGAGAGAACTGCTTTGTGGACAGAAGAAAGGTAAAGAGGAGAACTGTTGAGGTGGATGAGAAAGTGTGTGAAGAGATGATATGCTTGAGGAGAAGAAAGACGTGAGAGGAAGGAACTGCTTCAGGAGAGAGAAAAGAGAGAGGACCTCTTGGGAATGCTTGGAGAATATGGAGAGAGTAAAACTAAAGACACAAATTAATTGACACATTTTTCATTGTGTTTGTATGGATCAGCCAGCTGATCCACTATGTGTTAACAAGCCAACCCACCTTTTCATAGTGTGTGTGTGTGTGTGTGTGTGTGTGTATTGATTAATGAACAAGACTTTGTGATGTGGATGTTTGCTTGTCTTGTCAGTGAAATGTGATAAAAGATGTGTGCTCGTCATTGTGTTTACTGGTTTGCTGATGGTAATGTGTGGAGAGAGTGAATGTGTGTGTCGATGACGTATGTTCTGTGAATGAATGGCTAAGACAAGGACACTCTCATAGGACACACACAATGCCTACTATGTATACAGTTGGATAAGCCAGATGCTGGTCTCCTGCACACCAGGTTTCAACAGAGGCCGTAGGGTGACCCCAGACGGACACAGTGTTGCTACAGGATTGTATTAATGTTCATCATGTTAAACCCTCTCCCTCTGGCTCAGTGTCTCTCTCTCTCTTTCTCTCACACACACAAACACGCACATACACGAAGGCACACACACTCAAACACACACTGTCTCAGTCAGAGCCCACTGCAGAGGGATTTAGAGTTAAAGCTGGATTTGGAATATTTAGAGCTTTCTGTAGTTATTTCTTGTTGTTGATAGGAAAGGATCGTTTTTTTGTGTGCCAGTAATACATTGCTGGAATGTTATTAAAGCGTTAGATGTCAGCATTAAATGCAGGCTGTTGAAATGATCTGTTTTTATATTTAGGGCCTGAGTTTTTAGTGACCACTTGACCTGACAAGGACATCAGTGTTCTTACAGTGCATTCGGAAAATATTCAGACCACTTGACTTTTTCCACATTTTGTTACGTTACAGCCTTATTCTAAAATGGATTTTTTTTTTAATTATCCCCTCATCAATCTACACACAATACCCCATAATGACAAAGCAAAAACGTTTTTTTTTTTACATTTTTGCAAATGTATTAAATATAAAAAACAGAAATATCACATTTACATGATTATTCAGACCCTTTACTCAGTACTTTGTTGAAGCACCTTTGGCAGTGATTACAGCCTCGAGTCTTCTTGGGTAAGATGCTACAAGCTTGGCACACCTGTATTTGGGGAGTTTCTCCCATTCTTCTCTGCAGATCCTCTCAAGCTCTGTCAGGTTGGATGGGGAGCTTTGCTGCACAGCTATTTTCAGGTCTCTCCAGAGATGTTCAATCGGGTTCAAGTCCGGACTCAAGGACATTCAGAGACTTGTCCCAAAGCGACTCCTGCGTTGTCTTGGCTTTGTGCTTAGGGTTGTTGTCCTGTTGGAAGGTGAACCTTCGCCCCAGTCTGAGGTCCTGAGCGCTCTGGAGCAGGTTTTCATCAAGGATCTCTCTGTACTTTACTCCGTTCGTCTTTCCCTCAATCCTGACTAGTCTCCCAGTCCCTGCCGCTGGAAAACATCCCCACAGCATGATGCTGCCACCACCATGCTTCACCGTAGGGATGGTGCCAGGTTTCCTCCAGATGTGACGCTCGGCATTCAGGCCAAAGAGTTCAATCTTGGTTTCATAAGACCAGAGAATCTTGTTTCTCATGGTCTGAGAGACTTTAGGTGCCTTTTGGCAAACTCCAAGCGGGCTGTCATGTGCCTTTTACTGAGGAGTGGCTTCCGTCTGGCCACTCTCCCGTGAAGGCCTGATTGGTGGAGTGCTGCAGAGATGGTTGTCCTTCTGGAAGTTTCTCCCATCTCCACAGAGGAACTCTAGAGCTCTGTCAGAGTGACCATCAGGTTCTTGGTGACCTCACTGCCCATTTCTAAAAACCTGTTTTTGCATTGTCATTATGGGTTATTGTGTGTAGATTGCTGAGGATAAAAAATATATATATATATATATTTTTTAGAATAAGGCTGTAATGTAAAAAATTTGGAAAAAGTCAAGGGGTCTGAATACTTCCCGAATGCACTATATATTTGTCCTATTCCACACATGTACAAGTGTGTATTAATGTGAATGTGTGAATTGGAAATGTTTTTTTTACATATCCCAACTCTCCCTCAGAGTGGGGCCATGGCCAAGGTCTGCCATTATCAACGGCGACCCTGGAGCAATTAGGGTTAAGTGTCTTGCTCAAGGGCACATCAACAGACTTTTCGCCTTGTCGCCTCGGGGGATTCGAACAAGCAACCAGAGGTTGCTGTCCCAATGACATTTGTTTTTTAATCTTCTTTCAGACGCAGATGGTTCAACAGTCTTTGCAGAGAACCTTAGAGTTCTACAGACAGAAAGAGATCAGGTAAGGACTGCTGTGCTATGTGTGTGTGTATGCGTGTGTGTGTATGTATGTGTGTGTGTGTGTGTCTGCGCCCTTGAGAATGGTGTAGTAGAGGTAGCTATAGGCCTTTGGGAAGAATGAATAAGGATACTGTGAGTAATGGTTTCTAGTAACATACTGAGGTCACATAAGAGCAAGGCCACTGTACTGTTTTAGCTCATCTAAGTGTTATAAATGAGAAAACCATGTAACTAATTCATCCTTTACATAACACGTGTTTGTATTTTGTGTGAACATTGCGCTGTGTCCTTGTTTTGGATTATACTGAACAAAAATATAAACACAATATGTAAAGTGTTGGTCCCATGTTTCATGAGCTGAAATAAAATATCCCAGAAATGTTCCATATGCACAGAAATCTTATTCCTCTCAAACTTTGTGCACACATTTGTTTACTTTCCTGTTAGTGAGCATTTCTCGTTTGCCAAGATAATCCATCCACCTGACTGGTGTGGCACATCAAGAAGCTAACTAAACAGCATGATCATTACACAGGTGCAGGGTACAATAAAAGGCCACTCTAAAATGTGCAGTTTTGTCACACAATAGCCACAGATGTCTCAAGTTTTGAGGGAGCGTGCAATTGGCATGCTGACTGCAGGAATGTCCACCAGAGCTGTTGCCAGAGAATGTAATGTTCATTTCTCTACCATAAGCCACCTCCAACGTCATTTTAGAGAATTTGGCAGTACGTCCAACTGGCCTCACAACCGCAGACCACGTGTAACCACGCCAGCCCACACGTGTAACCACGCCAGCCCAGGACCTCCACTTCCGGCTTCTTCACCTGCGGGATTGTCTGAGACCAGCCAATGAAACTGAGGAGTATTTCTGTCTGTAATAAAGCCCTTTTTGTGAGGAAAAACTCATTCTGATTGGCTGGGCCTAGCTCACCAGTGAGTCGGCCTGGCTCCCAAGTGGGTGGGCTATGCCCTCCCAGGCCCACCCATGGCTGCACCCCTGCCAGTCATTTGAAATCCATAGATTAGAGCCTAATTTATTTATTTCAATTGACTGATTACCTTATATGTACTGTAATCCAGTAAAACTGTTGAAATTGTTGCATGTTGCGTTTATTTTTTGTTCAGTATATTTAAGTATTACTGTCTGTGTGTTGTGTTGGTGAGTTTCTGTTCTATGCTCGGTGTTTGTGTGTGTGTGTATGTGTGTGTATACATGTGCGTATGTGTGTATGTGTGTTTGTGAATTGTGTATGTGTGTGTGATCTGTGTCTAGTAGGGTGGTAAATGTGCTCATTAGACATAGCAGGTCAGTATTACAGTAATGCCCAGATCAATATTACAGTAATGCCCCATTGGTTTATAAACAAACCAGCAATGAGGCACTCTCTAGCCTGTTATATCATCTCTCTGTCTCCATTCCGTGTGTGTGTGTGTGTGTGTGTGTGTGTGTGTGTGTGTGTCAAAGGTGCAGAGAGGATGGGAAGGAGGAAAATAAAAGTTTTACTTTGGAGAAGTGTCCCTTTGTGGATAATTCTGGTTCTGGAGAAGAGGCGGACATCTCAGGAATACTACAGTACATGGCTACTCTACAGGGTCAGTATCACTCTACCGTGTGTGTCGTGTGTGTGTGGCCAATCGGTATAGAGTTGTGTGTTGGCAGAATAACCTTGGATGTTATTGATGCTGCCTGCTTAATGTGTGTGTGTGTGTGTGTGTGCTTTTAAGGACTTCTATGCTCTCTGCTTAGTCTCTGTGTGCACATTTCAAGGAGTTTGATTAATGCTGTCTGCTAACTATGCTTACTAAGGTATAGTGTGTGCTTTTTCATGTATCAGTGTTTGATTAATGGTTTGATTTATGTCCAAAAGTGTGTGTGTGTCATTTTGACTCCCCCAAAAGTCCTGAAATTTATAATGCTTACACTATAATGATTCTTCAGCTGCACTTTGCAACTAAAAGGAACCTCTCCACATGCATGCACACTAACCCCTCTGGTACCTTCTAATGAGGAGGAGAGACATCTCGGTGGAGCTCTGACAAACACACACTTCTTTACCTCTTTACCTCTTTATGCTGTTCTCTTTCTCTCCTCCATCCTCTCCCTTTCCCACCTCTCCCTCCCTCATCATCTACTCCTCCCCTCCTCACCTCCCTCCCTCCCTCCCTCACCTCCCCCTCCTCCTCCTCTCCTTCGCTTCACTCTCCCCCCCGCCATCTCTCTTCCCTCCCTCCCTCCCTCCCTTCCATCCTCTCCTCCTGCTCTCCTCCTCCATCTCCACTCCTCCATCCTCTCCTATCTCTCTCTACCTCCCTTCATCCTCCCGTGCTCTCTTCTACCATCCCTGTTATCAGGTTCTCCTCCTCTCGTCCTCTCCCTCCCTCCCCCATCCTTCTCCCTCCCTCCCTCCCTAGCTCTCTATCTCCTTCCCTCCCTCCTGTCTACCTCCCTCCCTCCATCATGTCTACCTCCCTCCCTCCACCCCTCCCTCCCTCCACCCTGTCTCCGCCCTCCCCATCCCCCCCCTCCCTCCATCTCTCATCATCCCTCCCCTCCATCCTCCCTCCCTCCTCCCCTCCCTCCCTCCTCCCATCTCCTCCTCCCTTCCCTCCCTCTCCCTCATCTCCTCTCCCTCCCTCCATCTCACCTCCCTCCCTCCATCTCCCTCTCCCCCATCCTCTCTCGACCTCCCTCCCTCCCCCCCCCATCTCCAATCCTCCCCATCTCTCCCTCCTCCCCTCCCTCCCCTCCTCCTCCATCTGTCTACCTCCCTCCCCCCATCTCTCTAACCTCCCTCACCCCCCTCCTCCTCCCTCCCTCCCTCCTCCCTCCATCTCCATCTACCTCCCTCCTCCACTCCCTCTCCCCTCCCTCCCTCCCTCCTCTCCCTCCCCATTGTCTACCTTCCCTCCCTCCATCTCCTACCTCCCTCCCTCCCTCCATCTGTCTACCTCCCTCCCTCCATCTCGTTCTACCTCCCTCCCTCCCTCCCTACCTCCCTCTCTAACCTCCCCCCCACCTCCCTCTCCTCTCTACCTCCCTCCCTTCCCCGCCATCCTCCATCTCCCTCCCTCCCCCCTCCATCTGTCTCCTCCCTCCCTCCATCTCCATCTCCCTTCTCCCTCCCTCCCCTCCTTTCCATCTCCCTCCCTCCTCCTCCTCTCGACCTCCCTCCCTCCATCTCTCTCTACCCCTCCATCTACTCTCACACTCCCTCCCTCCATCTGTCTACCTCCCTCCCTCATCTCCTCTACCTCCCCTCCCTCCCCTCTCCTCCCTCCCTCTCCTCTCCCTCCTCCCTCCCTCCCTCCCCTCCCTCCCATCGCTCCTCCCTCCCTCCATCTGTCCCTCCCTCCTCTTCCCCTCCCCCTCCATCTGTCTACCTCCCTCCCTCCCATCCCTCTCTCCTCCCTCCCTCCATCTTCTACCTCCTCCCTCCCGCCATCTCTTCCTCCCTTACCTCCCTCCCCCTCCCTCCATCTCCATCTACCTCCTCCCTCCATCTACCTCCTCCCTCCATCTCTCTACTCCCCCACCTCCTCCCTCCATTCTCTGCTACCTCCTCCCCCCATCTCCTACCTCCTCCCTCCCTCCTTCTTCTCCTCTCCCTCCTCTCCGCTCCCCCTTTCCCTCCCTCCATCGTCTACCCCTCTCCCTCCGCGTCCCTCCCTCATCTGTCTACCTCCCTCCCGCCATCTCTCTATCCCTCCCTCCCTCCCTCCTCCATCTACCATCCCTCCCTCCTCCCTCCATCTCCATCTACCTCCTCCCTCCATCTCTCTCTACCTCCCTCCCTCCCTCCATTCTCTCTACCTCCCTTGTCTCTTCCCCCCCTCCATCTCCCTCTCCTCCCCCTCCATCTGTCTACCTCCTCCCCTCATCTCGCTCCCCTTTCCCTCCTCCGTCTACTCCCCCTCCATCTCCTCTCTCCATCTCTCTCGACCTCCCTCCCTCCATCTCCAATACTACCACCCTCCATCTACCTCCCTCTCTACCTCCCTCCCTCCATCTGTCTACCTCCTCCTCATCTCTCTACCTACCTCCCTCCCGCCATCTCCACTACCTCCCTCGCTCCATCTCCCTCTACCTCCCTCCCTCCCTCCTCTCCCTCCCTCCATCTGTCTACCTCCCTCCCTCATCTGTCTACCTCCCTCCCTCCCTCCATCTGTCTACCTCCTCCCTCCATCTGTCTACCTCCTCCCTCCCTCTCTCTCTCTACCTCCCTCACTCCTCTCCATCCTACCTCTCCCCCCCTCCACTCCCTCCACTCCCTCTCTCCATCTCCCTCCCTCGCTCCATCTCTCTCCTCCTCCCTCCCTCCCTCCCTCCCTCCCTCCCTCCCTCCGTCCCTCCCTCCCATCCCCTCCCTCCCTCCATCTCGTCCTCCCTCCCCCTCCTCTCCCTCCCTCCACCTCCTCCCTCCATCCCATCTCACCTCCTCCCTCCCTCCTCTGTCTACTCCCTCCCTCCTCTCTCTCTATACCTTGGTCTACTTCCCTCCATCTCCCTCCCTCCTCCATCTGTCTCCTCCCTCCCTCCATAGCCGCATCTCCTTCCTCCCTCCTCACCTCCCTCCCTCCATCTGTCTACCTCCCTCCCTCATCTCTCTCTACCTACCTCCCTCCCGCCATCTCCATCTACCTCCCTCGCTCCATCTCCCTCTACCTCCCTCCCTCCCATCCTCTCCCTCCCTCCATCTGTCTCCCTCCATCCATCACCCTCCCTTCCTCCATCTGTCTACCTCCCTCCCTCCATTTCTCTCTACCTCCCTCCCTCCAGCTCCTCTACCTACCACCATCTCCATCTACCTCCCTCCCTCCATTTGCCTCTACTTCCCTCCCTCCATCTCCCTCCATCTACCTCCCTCCCTCCATCTCTCTCTACCTCGCTCTCTCCGTGACATGCCTGTATCTGTCAGCATGCTCCTCACCATACCCTCATTACCTAACCCACCTCTGTGTGTGTGTGTGTGTGTGGTTTGTAGTTGTTTGTGTGTTGTCCAGCCTGTTGTGTTCTCTCTGTTTGTTATGCATCAGGGTTGACTGATCAGTCAGACAAACAGCAGCAGCTGTGTGTGTGTGTTTGTGTGTGTGCTCTAAAGCTGACTCCAGATTGCTTGTCCTTCACAGTAAATAACCCCCTACAGCCCAGCCATGGCACTCCAGCTGTGTTTGTTTACTTTGATGTTGTGGTTGTGTTGTCCTTACCTTATCCTGAGGATGTGGTTGTGTTGTCCTTACCTTATACTGAGGATGTGGTTGTGTTGTCCTTACCTTATCCTGAGGTTGTGGTTGTGTTGTCCTTACCTTATACTGAGGTTGTGGTTGTGTTGTCCTAATGTTGTCCTGATGTTCTGGTTGCTTTGTATTCTAGGTGTGCGGTTCTGTGAGCTGAGGGAGCGTTTCGGGGAGGAGTTCTTCGGTCTGTGTTTCGAGGAGAATGAGCGGGTTCTAAGAGCGGTGGGAGGGAACCTGCAGGACTTCTTTAACGGCTTTGACGCCATCTTAGAACACATCAGAACCTCGACCGGACGCCGTGCCTCTTCAGAGAGCCCCTCCTTTCAATGCAAAGAGCCTCACGAGGAGGAGAGAGGAGGAGGAGGAGGAGGAGGAAGGGAGAGGGTGGGAGGAAAGCTTCTCCTCCTCCACTGCTTTAACCCCGCCCCTGTCGTGGGATTGGCTATGCCTGGTCTGATCCGAGCCGCTGCACGCCGAATCTTCCACTCCCACGTCGTGGTGAAGGAAGCCCCTCCCCTAGCGGCGTTGTCACCCAATGAGGACGCAGAACACTCAGGAGGAGCCTCCACCCCTACTCCGACTCCCTCCCCTTCCTCGTCTCCCTCACCCCCTTCCCCGTCTGCCCCCGTCTGCCTCTCCTTCCTCATCAGAGAAACCTCCCCCTCCCCTCTCTACATCCCTCCCTCCTCTGTCACCCTTCCAACAGAGACCTCCAAGCGGACCCTCCCGCCCCTCTCCCTCTCCCCCACTGACCTGCGCATCGGTCCGGCTACATTCTGCAGGGCGTTCCCCTTCCACCTGGTGCTGGGCCCCAGCATGGAGCTGCTGCAGCTAGGGGAAGGTCTGAGAAGGCAGGCACGGATCGAGCCTCACCGGACCCTCTCCTTCAGGGACTGCTTTGAGATCATCTCCCCCAGGATCCAGCCCACCTTCCAGGCCATACTGCTGCGCCTGGCCTCCCCTTTCACCATCCGCACCCGGCCAGACAGCTCCCAGTCAGGCACCAAGGAGAAGGTATTTATGTACTGTGTGCGTGTGCGTGTGCGCATCAGAAAAAGAGGCTAAAATGGTCCTGTTGAATAACAACCTCTGATATGCAGTCTTATCTGTCAGCAAGCTAACACACACTGCTCTCTCCATCTTCTATCTGCAGTCTTATCTGTCAGCAAGCTAACACACACTGCTCTCTCCATCTTCTATCTGCAGTCTTATCTGTCAGCAAGCTAACACACACTGCTCTCTCCATCTTCTATCTGCAGTCTCCTCTGTCAGCAAGCTAACACACTGCTCTCTACTCTCTCCATCTTCTTATTTCTCACTTCTTAATTTTTCTGTTCCAGTCTTCCTGTCTTTCTCTCCTTTATTAGTTCTGTTCCTCCGGGTTATAGCTTTGAAAGTCTGTGTTGTTTCTTAGTTCTTCTTGGATTTGTCTGTCCTTTTCTACCAGTCTATTTCTGCAGGTTAGTTGTCCTCTGGGGGCCTATCTGTCCCAGCTGAACTCATTTGAATGCTTTTAACTGACTGTGTTCAGGGAGTCTTTTCATGCCAGGTTTCTGTCTTCTAGTAACACTGTGTTATCCGTACATCAGCTAGCGATATTAGTTGGAAATGTAGATCTTTTTGATTTCAATAAGTTGAGAAGATACCTTAAGGTCTGCTACTTTGCAGAACTAACCATCTTTCCAAGCTACTGTTTTTCTAACCATTCGTTGAGTTGAAAGTATCAGGTTTGCATGCAGGGTGCATACGTTTGAGAGCATAGTCAATTCTATTTACCATATCAATACATGATTGCTGTATAATGAATCTGCACAAGATCAGCTAATATTGAGAATACCAACAAAAATGTACACAATGTAGTAGGTGTGTGTGTGTGTGTGTGTTCCTGTAGTTGTTTCTGCTCCTTACGGGGGGTTTAATTGGATGGCTGTGATGTTGCAGTGGGTTTCAGAGGGAGGCTGTTGACAGACTAGAGCCACCCAGGGCTTACTGTGGTAATCTGGACAGATGATTATGAAATACACCAGTTTATGTTTACATATCCTCTTATGAAAGAGCATTACCCTGCAGGCCTGTTCCACTATTATTGCCCACACAAAACATCATCTAAACACATACACACACACACACACACACACACACACACACACACACACACACGAACAGACTGAAAATCTCCACAAACCCAAATCATCTGTGATCATCAGTAGTGGCTCTTATCTGCTGTGGCTGTCCCCTGCATGCACACACACACACACACACACACACATGCTCTTTATTGTACAGTACCAGGACCTCCTCTCCACAGTCAGAACTCAAGCACCACTACATCTCTCTATCTCCCTCTCTCACGCTCACTCCCTCGCTTTTATCATTCTCTCCTCGCTCCCACTCTGCTCGCGCTCTCTCACAGGGTTCCCCTCTCAGGCAGATATATGAGTGTCACTACATATCCCTTCCTCTTTTTAGCTCTCCTTTACTATCTTTGAGAATAGATTATTAGTCCCCTGTTTTAGAGGGCCTTAGTTGGGCCTGGGTTTGTCCGTTTTAGCTTAGGGGGGGCCCCTTTCACACACACAGACAGAAAAATACAGTTAATGCAGATTAAATGTGTCTCTGTGCGTCACCCGGGTCTCTCTGTCGGCGGTGGTTGGGTAACCACGGTGATGAATCAGAAAGCAGTGTGAGGTGTAGAGCAGGTCAATTCTGACTGAGTTAGCAGAAACACACACACCTCAGTTTGAAGAACACAACCACCTGCCTTTCCCAACTAGCTCTCACAGTCTTACGTCAGAATTAGACGTTCATCCATGTTTCTCAAACGCCAAATTTCAAAGTTGTTCCAAACGTCAAATTCTGAAGTTGTTCCAAACGTCAAATTTCAAAGTGTTTAAGGATACATTTAGTCATTTTTGATAATTAGTCAAAATTATCAAAAACAACTTTCTATTCTTGGATTCGACCTTGTAATCCGCCATCCCGTCCACAACGCCTTAGCAAAACCAAAACCTACTTCCTTGACGCACGCACGCACACACACACACACACACACACACACACACACACACACACACACACACACACACACACACACACACATACACACACATACACACACACACACTGTGTTACTGTGGCATTAACGCTATAGACCTCGGCAGTGGAAAGGACACCATCATGTTCCTGCAGCAATCTGAATCTAAGTCTGTCATGTGTGTGTGTGTGTGTGTGTGTGTGTGTGTGTGTGTGTGTGTGTGTGTGTGTGTGTGTGTGTGTGTGTGTGTGTTTGCATCAGGAGGAGGTCTGTCACAAAATGTTCATAATAAGGTCAAATCAAAGCTGGAATCATCCTATAAACAGTGATGTATGCAACAGTTAGACACATTAAAGGGCGACTGCACTTCCTGTTTTGACCTAGTTTTCCATCAATGCTCATTAAGAAATGCTAGCGGCCATGACTGAAGGCAAACAAGAGTTGTGTTGGGGGTGTGGTTTGATGTTAGCTAGCAAGGATCAAACCTGTCGTCAGGTGCAACGTTAGCAATGCAAATCTTCTTCTCACATTACACAACAGGAAGAGGCTATGTATTTAGCTAGTTACATCACAGTATCACAGCCTAGTATCATAGCGGCATAGGCTATCAAATAATGACATGTAGCATGTAGCTAGCTAGCTATAAACAAAACGTAGCTACTTACCAACAACACACCAGTCTCAGGTTTGATGGTAGAAACTAGTCGAATGTAATCCATAAGATTGTTAAACAACTTTATGGAAGCCCAGTGCCCCGGGTGTGCGGGGTTTGCTCATTTTCAACCATTCCATTGGTCCTCCTAAGGAGCATCGGGGCAGTGCAAAGCGAACTCGCCCAGTCTTTTCCCAGCAAACACAGTGTCACCATGTGTTATTAGGCAAAAGGGGGCATGAATTGTTGACATAATTGTAATCCAAACCAAACCCTCAAGTAACTCATGATGCAGTCATTTACCAAACTTAGTTTTGGACGAGACTGACTTTATGACCAAAATTATCCTATTTAGACTTTGTAGTACATTTTGACACAACAATTAATGTTTCTTTCTCATATCGATGACACAGAGGCCGTTTAAAACTAGAGAAGTTGGTTCTAAGGGGCAGTTGACCTTTATAATAGTCATAGCAGGGACAATGATGTATGCAACAGTAAGCCACATTAACAGTCATTAGGGACAGTGATGTATGCAACAGTGAGATACATTAAGAGCCATTAGGGACAGTGATGTAAGATACATTAACAGTCATTAGGGACAGTGATGTATGCAACAGTGAGATACATTAAGAGCCATTAGGGACAGTGATGTAAGATACATTAAGAGTCATTAGGGACAGTGATGTATGCAACAGTGAGATACATTAAGAGCCATTAGGGACAGTGATGTAAGATACATTAACAGTCATTAGGGACAGTGATGTATGCAACAGTGAGATACATTAAGAGCCATTAGGGACAGTGATGTAAGATACATTAAGAGTCATTAGGGACAGTGATGTATGCAACAGTGAGATACATTAAGAGCCATTAGGGACAGTGATGTAAGATACATTAAGAGTCATTAGGGACAGTGACGTATGCAACAGTGAGATACATTAAGAGCCATTAGGGACAGTGATGTAAGATACATTAAGAGTCATTAGGGACAGTGGAGGGGCGTGAGCTGACATTTTCAGCAGAAAGGGCAGAGAGTGGAGGCGACAGGACATAGTCTTCAGCTGAGGCCATACCCCCCAAACCCCCCCGTCCCCCGTCCCCCCCGTCCGTCTTCCAGCCCTTGAGGGGTGTCTGATTCCCCCACCCCTCCTTGCCAGACTCCCTCTCTCTCCCTCCTGCCAGTGTCTGTCTGTCCATCCATCCTCCCCCCAGGGCTTGAGCTCTCCAAGAGTAGATCTACTGGAAAGGTTACTTAGGCTTCTCTCTCTCTCTCTCTCTCTCTCTCTCTCTCTCTCTTCTCTCTCTCTCTCTCTCTCTCTCTCTCTCTCTCTCTCTCTCTCTCTCTCTCTCTCTGTTCTCTCTCTTCTCTCTCTGTCTCTCTCTTCTGTGTGTGTCTCTTTGTCTCTGTCTCTCTCTTTCTGTGTGTGTCTCTCTTTCTCTGTGTCTTCTCTCTGTGTCTCTGTCCTATCTTTCTCTGTCTGTGGTACCAATGTCTCTGTGTCTCTGTCTCTCTCTTTCTCTGTGTGTCTGGTGTCTCTCTCTGTGTCTCTGTCTCTCTCTTTCTCTGTCTGTGGTACCAATGTCTCTGTGTCTCTGTCTCTCTCTGTCTCTGTCTGTGGTACCAATGTCTCACTCTCCTTTTCCTTTACTTCTTTAACTTCCCTCGCTCACACACACACACACACACACACACACACACACACACACACACACACACACACACACACACACACACACACACACACACACACACACACACACATGTATTACTGATGCTGAGAGGCCAAGCCTCCAGCTGTGTGTGTACACCTTTCTGCACACAGAGAAGACATCTTATTGACATGCCGTCAGGACCGCCCTCATCTACCCAGCACCTTACACTCCTCCTCTCTCTCTAGCTCCTTCACTCCAAACCCCTCTCTTCACCTTCCCTTTGCCTCAAACCATCCTCGTTTCACCTAACCAGAACCCCCACCCTCCCTCCTCACAGCAATCCATCTTCACCTAACCAGAACCCCCACCCTCCCTCCTCACAGCAATCCATCTTCACCTAACCAGAACCCCCACCCTCCCTCCTCACAGCAATCCATCTTCACCTAACCAGAACCCCCACCCTCCCTCCTCACAGCAATCCATCTTCAACCAGTATCGTCAGTTTGAATTTACACGGCATGTTACAGAGTAACCTTAAGAGCACCTAGTGTACATCATGTATCTGTTTTTATCACTGGTGTTGTGTCATATGGTCACCATCTCCACTCTCTGTAGTGTAAATATGACCCAGAGAGAAAGGGAGCGCAGTGACTTTCAAAGCTTCCTCTCTTT